GCCAAATGGCTGTCCCATCCATATTGGAAATGTAGGCTCTGCCCTCCTGGTGCACCTGCTACATGGCAGGCACAGTGCTAGGCACCACCCCTCTATGCCTCAGTTGGAGATCATTACGGGAGACCTTCCACCATGTGAGAGGTTGAGCGCTATTTCTGAGGCTATTTCTTTTCTTTTTTTTTTTAAAGAGAGAGTGAGAGAGAGAATTTTAATATTTATTTTTTAGTTTTTGGCGGACCCAGCATCTTTGTTTGTATGTGGTGCTGAGGATCGAATCCGGGCCGCACACATACCAGGCAAGCGCACTACTGCTTGAGCCACATCCCCAGCCCTTCTGAGACCTAGTTTTGAGTCCCACCTGCCTTGACGTGTGGACCTCTCTGAGCCTCAGCTTTCTCATCTGTAAATAGATGTGACAGTGACACAACACCACAGGTTGTTGAGAGACATATTCAAAGTGCCTGGTGCAGGGACATGATGGCTATTATTAGAATAATAATTATCCCCATTTTACAGATACAGAAAATGAGTCTCAGAGAGGTGAGGAGACTGTCCTAGGCTGTCTTACCAGTGAGAAGATGCCTCATGCAACCAGAGGTCTGCTCGTGCAAAGAAGCCCTACCAGAACCTGGAGAGCTGGTTAAGTGCCCAGAGGCCCATTCCAGCCTTGCTGACTCCAAATTTCGGGGCCAGGATCTGTGCTTCTAGAAAGCTCCCCTGGAGTTCAGAGGCTGCTGGTCCTTCCCTTTGCATGCTATAGGAGGTAGRGTGCTCACGGTCTACAGAATAGGATGAGATTTTTTTTGGTTTTTGTTTTTTGTTTGTTTTTTTTTGGTACCAGGGATTGAACTCAGGGTCCACTCGATCACTGAGCCACATCCCCAGCCCTATTTTATATTTTATTTAGAGACAGGGTCTCGCTGCATTGCTTAGCACCTCACTGTTGCCGAGGCTGGCTTTGAACTCGCCATCTTCCTGCCTCAGCCTCCCGAGCAGCTAGGATTACAGGCCTGTGCCACTGCACCCAGAAAAGATAAGCCATTCTTTGCATTCCAAAACCAGAGCAGAGAGCCATCCGAGGTTCTTCCCACCCCGACCCTCTGCTTGCCCCTGAAGGGCTGGGGGCTCCCCGCCATCTCGCCACCCACACAGGCATCCGGTCCCAAGGGTTACTAGTTAGGTGGCTGGGAGAGGCTGGCCCCTCATCAGACACCTGTTAGAGAAGCCTGGACTTCCCCGTTAGCCCCAGTATCCTGGGTTCCTGTAAATCATTCATCCTGAGCCCTCTCCCTGCCCTGTCGCTCTCACGCACCACCCAGGCCCCTCCTCTCTGGGCTCTGGAGGTAGCACAGGTGCTCAGAAGATGGGACAGGAAGGATTGTTGAGAGACATATTCAAAGTGCAGTTCCTAGTTCTATCTAGAGCTGGGACCGGAGCCCAGGTCTCCTGACTGTCATTGAAAGTACAGTTCACATCTGCACATGGTAAACGTAGCAACACCCCAGAGTCTCCCTCCACCAATGGCTTTCCTCCTCCAGCTCCTCTCCCCAAAGGAGCAGCCCCTGTGACTGGGCTTCTCATAGGTTCATTGGAAAGAACTGTATGGAGACATGAACAGTGTGTGTTGTGTATCCCCCGCTTTTGTACAAAACAGTGACATATTTTTTTTTTTTTGCACCAATCTGTGTCTTGCTTTTCCACATATCTTAGAAACTGCTCCATGTTGCACTTTTGCAGTTTTGTGATTTCGTCTTATGACTCTTCTCCACGGATGCACCCAGTTATCTTTCCTCCCTGGATGACAAGTGGGATTCCCCAGGTTCTGGGCCACATAAGGAATCTGACATTTTTYTTTGGCAGAGTCCTTTTCTTGGGAATAAAACCATGTGCTTCAAGCAGCTTGACCAGATAGAGGCTGGCCAATGGGTTCCTATGYCCGCTGGCCCCTCTTCCAGGGTAAGAGATGGGATGCCCGGATGCTGAGGCCCTTGGACCAGGTCTCCACTGGCACCCTTGCCAGAACCAAGGAGAAACTATACAGCCAGCATCTCAAGCCTCCCCTCCATCTTGGAAGAGCTGGGCCAGAGGTCATACCACCACCAGGCAGGATGGCCCTCAGCCAGAGCCTGTGTGGACCCCTGCTTCCCTGGCCTGTGAAATGGCCCTGTGCATTCCTGTTTCCACCAGAAAGAACAGGAGAGAGAGCTGGGTGCAGAGAGAGAGGACGCCTGTAACTGCTGAGGGCCAGGTCCTGGTGGGCAAGGAGCCCCATCCCTCCCCAGGCCCACACTCTTCCAGGGGGTGGCTGGGAGTCCTCTAGGGTGRTTTGGTTTGGTTTGGTTTGTAYGGGGGATGGAACCCAGGGGCACTCTGCCRCTGAGCTACATCCCAGGACCTTTTTATTTTTTACTTTGAGACAGGGTTTCCTTAAGTCACTGAGGGTCTCACTGAGGGTCTTATTGAGACTGACCTCAAACTTGACATCCTCCTGCCTCGGCCCCCTGAATCCCAGGATGACAGTGTGCACCACTACAGCTTGCTTTCTGGGTGTTTTAAAGGGCCCGGTTGCTGCCATCCAACCCCAGCACAGGCCAGGCTCCCAGGGGCCCCCCACACTTCTCTGACCCCTCCTTTCCTGGAGGGGGTGGTCTGCTCTTTACACTCCTATTGCCAATGCTTAGGACAATGTGCGGCAGGCTCAGCAGCCCCAAAATATGGTGGGGTGGAGAGACATGCACTGGAGGAGACAGAGCCCTAGAGCAGGGGACACAGTGTTGGGCAGGTCTGCGCTCACTAGGGCCTCCAGGGACCATGACGCCACAGGCAGGATGAAAAAGAGACTTGCCAGGCTTCTTATTTGGACCTCTGGCTGCCATGTGACCATCCTGGACTCGTCTCTTCTCTGTAAAAAACGAAAGGAGACTAAACTCCCAGGACTCCTTCCGGCTCCAGCTGAGCAAACCCAGCAGGCGGGCAGAGGCTTCAGAGCCCTCCTGGGCCCTGGTTGTGGTGGCATGAGGCAGAATTGTTTGGAAACAGTGTTGAATTTTCTAGACTAAGGAGAGGCCCCATCTGGAGCCACAGCCTCAGCAGCCACTCCCTTGGCCCTTTCCTGGGGCAGACCTGGCGGAGGGCCGAGGCTGTCCCGTGCTCTGTTGGGCAGCAGACTGAGGTCAGGGGATCCGGAAGCGTCCAGTGTGGTTCTGCTGCTCTGGCAGAAAACCCAGGGAACAGCCGCCCAGGAACATCTGTTGTCTCCCGCTCTCCACGGAGCCATTGGCCCACGAGGAGCCCGGTGGCTGTCCTGCCAAGCTGCGTGGGCCTGGTGGAGGGCAGAGCCAGGATGGGGGTGGGCAGTGCAGAGGCACGAGGGACGGCCAGGGCCAGGGCTRCAAGCAGGGAGGTGAAGGCTGGCTGCCGTGGGGCCCTGGGTGAGGTGGGCAGGGCCCCGCAGTGGCTCTGAGACCCACCAGGCCCTGGAGGACACATGCGTGCTGGGGTGCACCTCCTATTTATAGCCACATGGTCAGCTGCTTACAGAGGAACTGGTATTTTGCCAGCCACCCCCCCCCCCAGCCCAGGCCAAGCAGGACTCTTAATATTCTCCCCAGACCTCCAATCCCAGCCCCAAAGACAGCCCTGAAGTGAAGCCCAGATGCTCCTCAGTCCAGCTCCTTGCCCTGGCTGAGCCCCATCTAGAAGCAAGCCACCACCTCYTCCCTCCTGGGTTATTGCACGGCCRCTTCCTCTCCACAGTCTGCTTACTACGCAGCAGCCAGGGGAACGGGAAAACCTACATCAGACTTCATGTCTTCTCTGCTCAAAACCCTGCAATGGCTCCCATCCCAGACACAGTAAAACCCAGAGTCCCTCCCCTTGTGTCCTGCCCCTGTTCCCCTTGCTTCCTCCATCCCACCCCACCAGCTTCCTCACTGTTCCTCAAACCTGTGAARTGGCAGCTATGCTCCCACCCCAGGGCCTTTGCACTTATTGGTCCCTCTGCCAGATGTCTGCTTGCCTCTTTCCCTTCTCTCCTTTAGCTCTTTGCTCAGATTCCCCTGCTCAGTAAGGCCTTCATGAGCCAGTATATTTAATAAAACTTTTTTTTTTTTTTTTTTGAGATTGAGTCTGGCTTTGCTCTGCAGGCTGGCCTCGGACTCCTGGGCTCCAGCGAAGCTCCCTTCTCAGGCCTCCTCCCTCTTAGTCCTCCCTCTCTGCTTTCTTTTTCTCCAAATACTTATCAATTCACATTTCAAGTGTTTTCTACATTTACTTTCTTTTTGTGGGTCCTACTCCCTTAGAACCTGAGCTTCCTGAGGGCAGGGATTCCTTTATTTTGTCCCCTGCCTACCCCAGGACAGGGCTCCAGGCAGGAGCTCGGTGATGATAACCTGAGGAGTCACCTGCAGCCCTGCTGCTCTGGGCCTGCCCCTACCCTGCTGCAGCCCGGCTCAGGGTTTGCTGTCCAGGRTCAGGGACTCCTGAGGTCCCCAGCAAGCCCGTCCTTCCTGCCCGAGTGTGGGGTCAGCGTTCAGCGGGGACTGGGGAGCCCCGGCCCAGCTACTCCTCAGTTTCTGAATCCTTTTAACTTGCCCGTCCAGCCACGGTGGCCTCCCCTGCCCTCTTTTGCACAAGAGAAAGGAGCAGCTGACATCTTAGCCTCAGTCTACCCTTGCCTGCCAGGTGTCCCCTTCGGATCTGTGGTGTTCAAACTCATGATCTGAGGACCCCTGAATCGGAACTACTTGGGGGTTGTCAGACACAGTTTCCCCCAGGCTCTCAGATTAAACAGGGCGCCCAGAAGTTGTGCTTTTACAAGCTCCTGGGAATGTCCTTTGCGTGGCCACAGCTGGCAAATGCTGTCTAGAGCTGGTGGAGCTGGTGGTCAGAGCGGGTCCCTGGGTCAGGAGGCCTGAGAGAAGCCCCAGCCCCAACAGCAGCCCCACCTTTTGTGGGTGCCCCCCGCCCTTACCTTCCCTCCTGGTCCTCCTGCTTCTCAGGCAAGACCCGGACCAAGGACAAGTACCGCGTGGTCTACACGGACCACCAGCGCCTGGAGCTGGAGAAGGAGTTCCATTACAGCCGCTACATCACCATCCGGCGGAAGTCAGAGCTGGCCGCCAATCTGGGGCTCACCGAAAGGCAGGTGTGTAGGGGTTCCCCCACCTCAGCCTGGCAGCAGATTACAGGGCTCAGTAGGGGGAGAGCAGAGAGGCCAAGGGTCCAGGCTGTGGTCACAGCACAGCTGACCCTGAGCTGCTGCCAGCAGGTGCCCCAAGGAAACCTGATATTCCTGCCACCTCAGTGGGGAGCCTCTGGCTGAATAGCTGTGCCCTCTAGCAGGCCATGGCCAGTGCTGTTAGGCCCTCTAGGAAGGAGCAGCCATGGGGAACAGGAGGGCTCCCKGAGGGGGCCTTGGAGGAGGAAGACGAAGGTGGCCTGGGGGAGCTAGTTCTACAGGGAGAAGAGCAGGAGACAGGCCACAGACACCACTGGAGAAGGGCCAGCCCTGTGTCTTCCTCTCTCCTCGCTCTGCCACTGTCTCCTGCACCCATCGCCCGTAGACTCCTGTTCTGTGATCCTGCAGGTGAAGATCTGGTTCCAAAACCGGCGGGCGAAGGAGCGCAAAGTGAACAAGAAGCAGCAGCAGCAGCAGCAGCAGCAGCAGCAGCCACCGCCCCAGCTGCCGCCGGCCCTGGACGGCACCTCTGCCCCTGCAGGACCGCCCCTGGGCAGCCTGTGCCCCAGCAGTGCTGGCCTCCTCGCTGCCTCCTCCCCGATGCCTGTCAAGGAGGAGTTTCTGCCCTAGCCCTGCCAGGCTTGTGGCCTGGGGCCTGGGCATTCAGGTGCTAGGGATGGGGCTTCTGTGGGGCCCAAGAGGTCCTAGAGTCCCAGCCCCGCTGCTGACCTTTGGGGTCACCGTGGACAAGTCACCCACCCGCTCCCTGCATCCCTTGGCCCGAGTGTGCCATGAGCTCGTGGCCTGCTGGTCCCCGATTCTAGACCTCAGGGGAGTCGGGGCCCAGCGCTGGAGGTCTCAGGCCCCAGAGGGCTGGGGACAGAGCAAGACAAGGCCCCGCCTCCTCCTCATGGTCTTAATGAGTGAAGTGAGGAGTGAGGTGGGAGGCCGCCGTGGGGACCAGACTGACCTGGAGAAGGGTCTCTTGCCCAGAGAAGGTGGCAGGTTTGCAGAGCAGGACATGAGAGGCAGGCTGTGTGGCTCACCAGCACTCACCTCTCCTGCCTCAGCCTTACCTCGGCCTGCCTCACAGTGGTGTGCCCTGAGTCCTCCCCAGCCTGGACGCTGACACAAAGCCCCAGGGCCTGGGCCTGGTGGCCATCCTTGTCCACTCACCAGCACTCTCAGGGAGGCCTGCAGATAGAGGGGCCCTGCAGGGGAGAAKGGGGCCGAGTGCACCCTGCAGGGGGGTCCTACCACTCCACAAGGCTGTCTGTCCATCAGGATTCAGGCCCCAGGGAGCTGCCAGAGACTTTCTCTGGACCCAGCCAAGGTCACAGCTGGACAGATGTTATATAGAGACTGGAATCTTTTGGATGCAGCTTCAAGAATAAATTTTTGTCCTCCTTAAAAAAAAATGAATAGAATTATTATACACAGCATTGAAGAAAAAACAATTAAAGAATCGTTCTCACCCTTCACTAACAATAGCATATTCCCTTCCCGTTCTGCAGGCCTACAACAAGGTCACCTTTAAAATACTCCTAAAAGATCAAAACAGGACACTGTTAGAATAAGTCTATGAGATCACGTAGACGTCTGTGTGCATCTGTGAGCAGAATCGCCAGACTCAGTCTATCGGTCTATTGAATTTTTAAGCCACATTCAGTTCAGGTTTTTCTTTCAACTGATGACACTTGTTGGGCACTCCATGTGCTGTGGTTGGGCCCCAGAAGCAAACAGTCCTCGCCACCCGGGCGTTCCTAGTCCAGTGGGAAGCCTGCCAGGTACGTGGAGGGCGCTATTACAAAAGGATAAGAGTCAATCAGAGCCCTGCTCCAGGCATCCCGGGACTCAGAGCATCCAGGGAACAGAGTCAGCTCCTAGCTTATCCTGGAAGGCCTGGGGGGCTTCCTGGAGGAGGCAAGGTTGGAACTGAGACCTCGAGGTCAGGCCAAGAAGGGAAGAATAGTGAAAGTGGGCCTGAGGGATGTGAACTTAGAGTCCAAGTCTTTTTGACTCAGGGAGAAGCCATTGTCCTTAGGTCCCTTCCAGAGGTGGGCAGGAGTCTGCTACCTGGGGCTCTCTCCCCAGAGAGCTCTGGTGCCAGCTGCCTGCCCCTCTGTTTACTGTTCTGGGAGGTGGCCAGGCCATAAAACGTGTGCACAGCCTGCTTGCATTGCCCTTTGCTCCTGGGGCCCAGGATGACAATGCACAAGGTGGACCTGATCCTGGCACGGGCCCTACAGAGCAGCAGGTGCTTCTCTTTCTCCTCCTACCGGTGGTCTAGGAGAAACCCTGGCCCCATCAGTGACAGTAGATGCCTAAGGCACAAGAACCAGATGGCACCAGAGGAGAGGACCAGGGTCCCGAGAAGAAGGGGAGAGAGACAGGTGGAAAGGTAGCCGTCTATGATGACATTTAGCTTTCTGATCTTTAAATGCCATTTGCTGTGTGACTCTGGGGTAACTGCTTCCCTTCTCTGGACTTCCGTTTCCCCTTGTAAAACTAGGGAGTTTGTCTTCCAGAAATAAGTGACTCTGGTCAAGTAAATTGGGGAAATCCTGCAGATTTCACCACTCTGGGAGAGCCACACTGATGTCTCCAACAAGACCCCCAGCCAAAAGTTCCCTTGGATTGTCCTTAATTCAGTGTTCCGAAGGCTCCCTTCCCAGGAAGCCCCTGCTAACTCCTCCCTGTCTCCTACAGAACTCCCCATGCTCTGGAGAATGGGCGCTCTGAACTGGAGGACCAGGCAGTCCCTGTGAGGGACGCAGCGTAGAGCAGCAGGTCTTGTGGTCAGATGGCCCGGGTCCCAGAGTGACYGATCCTTGAGGCAGGGTAGTCGGCCGCCCTGCCCTCAGCCTCCTCAGGGACCAATGGGAAAGCCACTGATCTTAGATTGGGTGGAGCACAGGCCGCTGTCTGTAGGAGGTGCTTGTGTTTAGCCACCTGCTGATGGGGCTGTCACCTCCTAGTGTGAAAGGCCTGTGGGCTGGACGGATGTTCTAACCATCCCCACCCCCCAGCACCGAGGACAGATGGTGGCTGTGCAGATCTGAGGCAGGACAAGCCTAGCCCCCACCTCAAGAAGACCTCTGCGTGGCAGGAGGCCAGTGGCCAGGCCTGGCAGGTGGGGTGAGCTRTGGCAGTTGCTCAGGAGGTTGGGTAGGCCACAGGCGGGGTTGGTGTCCCCTGTCCATTGGCGTTTGAGTTCCAAGAAAAAGGAAACTCCCACCTAAGGTGACTTCCAAAGAGTGCCAAGGGCTGCCTTGTACCTGTCAGTTTCCTGTCACCTAAGAGTTCCACCAGAGTCCGGGGTGTTGTAACAGCTCAGGAGAAAGACCCCCCCCCCCCAGGTCCCGTCAGACCCTGCAGACACCCCAGGGCTAAGAGCTGTTCCAGCTTTCCAATAAGGAAACTGTACATGGTGATTTTATGTCCCCTTCTTCCAGGTGGCAGGCCCCACGCTGGTACTGGTGACCTGGGATCCATAAATACACGTGTCTCGGTCTGGCCTGGCAAGGCCCACAGCCTGGTCACAGCCTTTTTTTAAAAAAAAACAACAACAACAACAACAACAAAAAAACCTTTATTTTATTTATTTATTTATTTAATGTGGTGCTGAGGTTCGAACTCAGTGCCTCACACGTGCTAGGCAAGCGCTCTACCACTGAGCCACATCCGCAGCCCCTGGTCACAGCCTTTTTACAAGTCAGAATTGTGCATGTCAACACTGTGTTTGGCATACAATTTGAGGGGTTCACAGACCCCCGACCCCAGGATGGAACCTTTGCTTGTGGAAGAGCCATGGTCTTCATTGACAGCCAGGAGCASTGAGCAGAGCAGGCCCCAGCTGAGCTCTAGGGGGGACTGAGGGTTGGGAGGGAGTGAAGAGCTCTCCAGCAGCCCTCGTGTGTGCGCATCTGTGACTGTGATGGGCAGGGACAGGAGGAAGAGGGGCCCAGGAAGACTCAGGATCTCTGAGGAAAGCAGCAGCAGAGAGCCACGCAGGCCTAGCCCCGGGCAGCTGGGGAGGGCAGCCCCGTGGTGGGGGGCTGCTCCAGAACCACTTTCTCTGCACCACACCAGATGGGCCAGCAGTCTGGAACCTCGTTCTTCACAGTCCCCACTCCTGGTGTAGCAAAACACATGCTCACAGTGATAAAATCTGATCGTTTAGGCGAATTAAAAATGTTTATTTATATGCATTTAAAAATATCTCCCTATATAATAAAAGGAAGTACATTTTCATCTAACACTTTCCTTAAATCAGCTCACATCTTCATTGCACTTCAGGTTGGATGTGAGACCAGGAGAAATACTGAGAGAAGCAGCGGAGGGCGGGGGGGGGGGGCGCTACATATTTCCTGAGTGCATTCCTAGGTAGTGATTTTGCCCAGTGATACCCCAGCCCACTCTGGCACAGGGGAGGGGAATATTGTGGCAGCAATAGTCAAGTTCCACCAGAGTCCGGGATGTTGTAACAGGTCCCGTCAGACCCTGCAGACACCCCAGGGCTAAGAGGTGTTCCAGTTCCAATAAGGAAATTGTACGTGGTAATTTGGTCACTAAATCCTGGCTACTTGTATGATCATAAAACTGGGACTTCAGTGGGAGGGTGATTCATACAGATAACATCTTTAAGATGTTTTAGGTGTTGGGGGGAAGGTGGCAGAGAGGTGTGGCCTGGAGGGTGTGGCCCCAGGTGGGCCACACTCCTAGATTCCAGACATGAYTCAGTTGGTTTCTACATTACTGAGGGATTTTGCCAATCCTGCCCCCTCTGACTTGGCTTCCCCATCTGAGAGGCATGGACCATTTGACCATTTGCATGCCACAGCCCCAACGACTGTCACCAAAGCTCAATAGTCACCCCATGATGTATTTGTTCAAGGAAGGCTAACTTCAGGGCCCCAATCACCTCTCTTCCCCCCGGTACTGCTCAGAGGGGTCAGAAAGAGGTCAGTTTCCTTGGTTCCCAAGTCAACAGTCTCTGGCTACTCCCCATCCGTAAGGTTCTCTAACCTTGCAAAAGGCCTGGGGAACCCCATGCCAACGGGAGGGAGACAGGCTCTGCAAGGCTGCTGCTTCTCCTGTAAGAGACTTAGGGACAAGCCCTGGGCCAGGGCCTCCTTGGATTCAGGGSTACCTGACTTTGGCCTATCTCCAGGCATGGCCCGTGGCCCTCCTGGCTTTATCTCCAAAGCACAGAGATTCAGTGTTCTCTGTGACCTTGGGCACATGATTTACCTCCTTTGAGTCAGTTTCCTCAAGTATAAAATGAGATGCATGAACCTATCTTCTCAGGCTGTTGGAAAAGACTAAAAATTGGATTTTGGTGCCGAGTATGGTGGGGCATTGCCTATAGTCCCGGTGACTCAGAGATCTGAAGCAAGTTCAAGACCAGCCTCACAACTTGGCTGGAAATGTAGCTGAATTATAGAACACCCTGGGATCAATCCCCAGTACCCCACCACCACCAAAAAAGSATACTTGAAGTAAAAGTTCATCATAACCCACACAGTAGGGCCCAATAACTGTTCCTTCTCTTCACATTCATGGCCCCCTAGGCCTCATACAGGTAAGGGGCAGAGGGTAGGGGGACCCTTTCTCCTGGGTCTGGGGAACCTTGGCCTGCCCTGTGTGGGCCATACTCAAAGGCAAGAGCAGCTGAGCAAGGCCTGGGAGGAGAGGCAGCCTTCACCCAAGCCATGCCAGGACTTGAACCCTGGCCAGCTCCTTTCAAGCCCCAGGTTAAGGGCAGAACCTTATCCTCCCTCTCCCCAGAGCCCACCCCCATGTTGGCTGCAAMCATGTGCATGATCAATGTCTGAACAGGGACACTTTGAAAGTGGTGGGGGCATGGTGTGTAATATACATGCTGTCCCCTAGCACACCCAGGCTCAGTCCCAGCAAAGGGACACATGTGATCTCTCTAGCTAGGAATTTCCCACCCCAGCCACAGGCTCCTAGAATTGCCTGAACATCCTGAGAAGTCAGTCCCCAGCAGGCTGGCAGCTGGCTCATTTTACAAACTCATAACCTTTTTATGTCATTTATGCAAAGTCATTRCCTTCTCAAGGTCATTCCTTGAGTGGCGGAGATCTTGGTGCTAACAATATCATGGCATTTACCTGTCCTTCTTCCTCACTCAAATGTTCCCATTTCATTTTCACCCCAAGGAAAGGAGTACTAAGGACCACCACTGGCCTAGAAGGTCCATGAAGCCTGGCTCTGTCCCTGGTGTCATGCACTAGCTCTGGAACCTGGAGTAGGGACTTAACTCTCTCTTTCAGTTTCCTCATCTGTAAATAGKAGGAYKAACGCCTGCCTTTCTAGGCTGGGAAAATAWGTCTCCGCCAGGACCTGGCATATTTTAGATGCTCAATAAATATGGACAGATTAGATATTTGGATAAACATCTGCTAATGGTGGATGCCAACAACCCACAGTCAGCCAATACATGTTAACTGAGCACATAYGATGTGCCAGGCCCTGCGCTAGCTGGTTCCCGTGTCTGTGAATTCCTCCACTTCTGWAAGGGAAGTGAGATTCTTGTTCCCATTTTCCAGAAGCAGAGAACTTAAGTAAGTTCCCAAAGCAGATAGGGGGGGATGCTGGATCCCAAGACTGGGCTGTCAAGTGTCCCTGCGCATCATCTGCCTCCCTCCTTGCTCAAGGAAGGAAAGGGAGGCCCAGAGAGGGCAGGTCACTCTCTCAAGGTCACATAGGAGACCGTGGTGGCTGAAGCCGAGGGTTTCTCTGGAAACTCCCCCTCCCCACTGGCGCGGGCCCCTCCAATTCACAGCTCTGCGTGCGGGGGCGCCCGCATCCCCCAGCCGCCGTCGKTCGGTCAGCGGGTCTATCTGGGTGTCTCGCCAGCTTCGGGCGCTGCGCAGAGAGAGGCAAGTGGTTCGCAGCGCCCGGCCAGGCGCCCCACACCCGCAGCCGTCAGACGGCAGCGCCTGCGCCCGTGCCGGTGCCCACCCCAGCCGGTGCGCGGGAGCCGCCAGGCAAAGGCGCAGCGGCCGGCGGACAGGTGGACGATTTCGCTGCCTCGCCCGCTCTCTGCACCCTGAGAAGCCAAGCCCGCAAGCCCAGCACCCGCCCTCCGAAATGAAGAAGCTCCAGGGAGCTCACCTCCGCAAGGTAGGGCGCGAGGGCCGGGCGCACCTSAGCCGGGGCTGCGGGCCCGCCCGCCTGGCGGCCGCGGAGGCAAGATGGGGTGGGAGGTGGCCTGGCCGCGCGGGGCTCCGCCGGCCCCGCCGAGCCGGACCCCAGGGAGGGGCGGGGTCGGCCCTGGCGCGGGGGAGGGAGGGGGCTGGGACGCACGGGGCCCGGGCCGCGCGAACAGGTGGCTGCAGCCCCAGGTGGCGCCGGGGAGCGGGCAGCCGKRGGGGGGGGRGCACACGTCCGCCTCTCCCCTGCCCCGCGCCCGCCTCCTCTGATTGCAGGGTAACGGACCCTAGAAGACCCTAGAAGCCGAGCCAGCCCGGAGCGGGACTGGTTTCGGGGTGGGGGATCAACCTGGCTGTGTCTCGGTACTCCCCTGGAGCAGCCTCTGCCGGCCTCCAGCAGCCCCACTTCTTTCCTGCCTGCTCCTGCCCTTGGGCCACCACCTGCCTCCTCCCTGTCCCCTGCCTCTTCCTGGCAGCTTTACGTTTCCCKGTGAGACCGCAGGCTGTCCCTCTGTCCTGCTGAAGGGAAACAGAGGCAGGAAGCGGGGGAATCGGAGGCCCAAGAGGATGGGCAGTGGAGGTGGAGGGTGGGAGCTGGGGTGGGGACCGAGGCCACAGACCTCAGCCCCTCCCCACCTTTCTGGGTGGGGATGGACCTCCCACCAAGTTTTATGGGTGTGGGGAGGGGCACTGGGGGAGGCTTTCGGGCTTTGGAGTTAATAGTTCCAGCCCTAGCCAAGGAGTCGGAATCCCGGGTTACTATTTCTGCAGCTGCCACTTGCCCTGTGACTTGGACTACTCCATTCTCTAAGCTGGGCCTTCCCCGGTTCAGAGACACTAAAGCCCTCTGTTCCCCTATGTGAGGTGGGGACACAGGGCACTGTGGGCATGAGGGAAGGTGAATGGGAGGAGACATCAGGGAGCCTGTCTCCTCTCCACACCTACTGCCCAACTCGCACTCATTCAGGGGCTCTGCCCTGGACCGCCAGACTCAGAACCTCAGCAGTAGGTGGGTCTTTTTAATTGACCAACCTGAGTGACTTCTTGGGGCCTATAGTGAGTCATTTGGAACCTGTACCCATTGTTTTTCCACTCTCCTTCCCACAAGAGCCCCTACCCCTCTCTGCCACAAGGCCACACATTATGTAAACAGCCGWGTGCTGAGAAGTTCTTTTTGAGAGCTTAGCTAACCTGATTTCATTCAATCATCCAATGATTCCTGAAATGAGGTCTTATCATCCCCATTTTACAGACAAGACAACCGAGGCCCAGAGAGGTGAGGCTTATTGCTTACCTGGCAGTAGGCTAAGAAACCTAGAACCAATAGGGCAGTTCTGGGGCCACCTTCTCTCAGGGTCCCTTTTGGTCTTGAACAGAAGAGAGCAGGGAATAAGAAAATGCTAGAATCAGCACCAGCATCTTTCAGAGATGAACACTGGACTGGGAGTCAGAGGACCTGGGTCCTAGTCTTGCTCTGCTTTTAACTTAAATATCTGACCTTGGGCTCATCACTTCCCTTCCCTGAAACTCGGTTTCCTCCCCTACACAATGATGAACTTGAACTTCAGATTCCTATTGTCTATCTCTGTCCTGAAGGAGGGAGGACAGCATGGCTTGGGCAGTCCAGCCTCTCCCAGTCCCTGCAGAGGGACCTACATTTGCTGATCCCTCAAAGAGAGGGCGGAGGTCTGACAACGCAGGTTTGCATTTCTGCATGATCTTGGGGTGGGGTGGGGGGTTCAAGATTGAGTGCCCACACAGGTGGAAGTGTGAAATGACTCTTGTGGCTTCTGACCCTGCCCCATTTTTTGGTTCCTATCCTCTGTCTCCCAAACAGTCCCAACCTCCTGGGATTCACCCCACAGTGAGGCAGGGGGCTGCAGGTGGGCTCCTGATTGGCTCAGCTTTGGAGGACCCCATCCCCTGGCCCTGGAGCAGGAACAAGCTTCCCTCTGATTGGGGGAGGAGGGGGACGAGCTGTCAGCATCCTGCTCTTGGAACTCCTGTCTCCATGGAAACAGAGCTGGGACTGCTCTGTGAGCACGGAAAGGGCAGCTTCTCTGGAGGGATCAGAGGAGTCTCATTACCAGGACCTCCTGTCAGCTGGCCTGAACGGGGCAGGGGGGTCTAGGTGATAGGCCTGCCTACTGGCTGCTACAGCCTCACTCCAGGAGCCCACCTGGGAGTGAGAGGTTCTAGAAAGCTGGTGCTCTCCCAGCCCCAGGACGGCCTTCTGGAAAGGGAGGGTTTCAAGTGCATGTGGGAACTGCCACCYTCACCTCAGCCTGTCCCAGATCACAGCTAAGGAACCGCCAGTCCAGCAACCCTTGGAGAATGATATTTTAAAAGCAGCTTTGTCATTGTCATGGTCACCATCCCCTTTAATCATGCTAGGCTGTGCTAATCACCACTGCCCAGCCTCAGATAAGATCACTACTACTATGGTCACCACTGTCACTGAGAGTCAGCCCAAGCTGTTATCCAGTGTTGCCACCACCTGATGCACGGCCCAATTCTGTCACTGCAGCCAGACACCCCTGGTCCTGCAGCTCTCATGACATCTCTACTTTTCTGTCACCATTTTTTTTTGGGGGGGGTGCTAGGAATGGAACCCAGGGCCTCACACCTGTTATGCCAGCTGTCTGCCACTGAACCACATGCCCCAGTCCTCCTTGCATCATCTTRACCCCAGCGATGATGACATGACCAATACCCATAAAGCCTCCCCTGTCACCACCTGCTTGGCATGGACAATCTTAGAATAAGAAACTGGTCTGACCATAGCAAGTACTGAGCCCCTAAGCTGGGCTCCGATCTGGCCTGCAGATTTTATAAGTGGCTCCAGCAAAATCTCTGGTGAATCTTGCCATGGACCATCAGAACTGAGACTGTCTAGACTCACGTTTCCCCAAGTACATCCCAGCATGCTGCTCTTTGAGACTATTTTTTCTGAAATAGAATTTGGAAATACTTCATTCTAGTCCCTATTTGGGAGTCATTATGCATGTTGACTTGTTAAAGTTCCTATAGCAAAGAAACATGTCCTGTTTTGTGTTAACCCCAGTTTTCCTCAAACCTCTTTGGTTCAAGAATGCTTTTTCCACAGAATACCTATAACATCCCAAGGGACATGTTTCTGAAAATGCTGATCCATCTAATGCCCTCATTGTCCAGAGGGGAAACGGTGGCTCAGAAGGCTTCTGTGTATTAGCACAGATTTTGGACTAGAATTACAGTCCCCTGACTCTGCTTTTCCTCCAAAGCATGGCTCAGCAGGAGGTGAGGGCTCCTTTTGCTTATCTGAAGACCTTGACATTGCTCACTAATAGGCCTCCAACACAGCTGTACATTGCAAAGGCAGGCAAGATGTGGCTGCCCTTTCTCCTGACCATTCCTGGGTCTCTGGCTGAGAACTGCTCTTAGAATTTTAGATGGTCACCCTGGCACTGTTGGACTTCCCTGTAGGTGCTTACAGCTATGGCTCTTTGCATGACTTGAGTCCAGGATCCCAAGTGGCTGGAGGCGGGCCACCTCTCCCAGCCCAGCTAGAAGGGAGAATGCCCAGTGGACCTCTCCACCCACTTGGAGTCATGGAMGGGGATGTCAGAGACAGCTGGCCTCTGTTCTCCTCTGCTCTTATCTGCTCTTGTGACAGCAAGATTGCAACTTTCTGAGACAGATCAGGGCTTAAGTAGCTTTTTCCTTCCCAAGAGCCAAAATCCACAGTCCTCAGTAAGCCCCCTTGAACCATAGGGCATAAGTCTAGTCCCTCCCTTAAGGAGCCCACGTCCCACCAAGTCCCACCTTCCGGTGTTCAGGGCTCCCAGCTTCTTCCCTTTGTCCCCCTATAACCTCTTTTCCTGCATACCCTTCCATCTGGCCATCTGCCCTCTGGACATGCTCCACACGTCTGTGTCTGTCTTAGTCAAGTGCCTAGAAAGGAAACAAACTCTAGTATAGTGGGGAAAGACAAGGCCCTTAATCCCAGGAAACTCAGGGCTCAGGACCTAGTTCTCTCTCTCTAGCCAACCAGGGAAAGACCTTCAGCTTCAGTTTTTCTCATGCTTGGAATGACCCTTAGTTGAGTACTCAACTCAGAGTTGTTTTAAGAAAGAAAACAGGTGACATGAGTAAAATGTTTAGTGCAGTGCCCAGTAGTTGGTGACCATTAGTAAGACCATCTCTTCCACCATCACCACCACCATCACCACCATCAGCATCACCTCCACCATCACTATCAGCATTACCACCATCACTTCCACCATCACCACCTCCATCACCATCACCACCATCAGCATCACCTCCACCATCACTATCAGCATCACTACCATCATTTCCACCATCACCACCTNCACCATCACCACCTCCATCACCATCACCACCATCAGCATCACCTCCACCATCACTATCAGCATCACTACCATCATTTCCACCATCACCACCTCCACAACCATCACCACCTCCACCACCACCATCACCACCTCCACCACCACCATTACCACCTCCACCACAACCACCATCTCTACCACAACCACCACCTCCACCACCACCATTACCACCTCCACAAACACCAACACCACCATCACCTCCACCACCACCATTACCATTACCTCTACCATCACCACCTCCATCACCATCACCACCTCCACCGTCACCAACACCACCATCACCTCCACCATCACCACCTCCACCTCCACCTCCACCTCCACCACCAGTGGTGGCTGCAACAACATTAAAATAAAACCAAGATCATCCCTTGATTTGACTTTTGTTAGCTAAGACAGGACCAGGTAGTATTCTTAGTGTCGCAAGCCACCCTGCCAGGCCATGAGGCCCTCCTGCATGTGACCATGTGAGTCCACACAGAGCACTGGGTTGTGTGATGGTAGAGTGTCTTTCCGTTCTGCCTGCTCAAGTCGACACTCTTGTCATGGGGTCACAGCTCTAGCCTGGCCTCACTCTCGCTTTCTGCTTTGGTCTTACTGGCAGCCCATCACCCCAGACCTGTTGATGACCCCCAGCGATCAGGGAGATGTGGACCTGGATGTGGACTTTGCTGCAGACCGGGGGAACTGGACAGGCAAGCTGGACTTCCTGCTGTCCTGCATTGGCTACTGTGTGGGCCTGGGCAATGTCTGGCGCTTCCCCTATAGAGCCTACACCAATGGAGGAGGTATGGGCCTCATGCTGTGGAGGGCTATCAGGGGTGACCRGCCAAGGCTCAGGGTAGAATGAGGTAGAATGTGGTCTCAGCCACTGACTGCTGGAGACCTTGGCCTGGGAGGGGGACTTTACTCTGCCCTGTCCCTTTCCATCATCTATGCCCCTCTCTCATCCCTCCCATCCCCAGGATGGATACCCACTTTGCTGTCTTCCTGAGGCTCAGTACCCACTGGGCCTTGAATGATGGGCAGAGGGAGCTGCCTGGGCTTCCTGATAAAGGCCTGTGTCTGCCTGTAAATAATCCACCTGCTTTTGATATTCTTCYCATCTCTTCCCCCTCCCCTCTCCTCCTCCAGAGCCCTTCTCTGTCAATCATTCCCCCTCTCAAATCTCCAACATTTCTTCCTCTCCTGGTTCCTTCCACTCAGAATGCAAACACAGTCTCTCCTAGATTACCAAAAAAAAAAAAAAAAAAAATTCCTTTCTGCCCCTGCTTCTCCATCACATTACTCTTCTAAGTCTCATTAACAATAGCTAAGTTTGCGCCATTCTCCTCCGCCAGGTCCCTGGGCTAAGTGCCTGTCTTATTTAACCCTGATGACAACCCTGGTGGAGGCTGGGGATATAGCTTCGTTGGTAGAGTGCTTGCCTCGCATGCAAAGGCTTTGGGTCCAATCTCCAGCACCACAAAAACAAAACAAAACAAAACAAACAAAACAAACAAACAAACAAACAAACCCCTTCTGGGTAGGCACTATGGAAATGATGAGGCTGTTGGGAGCTGGAGAGGCCAGACTCTTTGCCCAAGGTCCCACAGTAGCAGAGCCCACAGTCCAACTCGAGACTGTTTTCTCCAGGATCATGTGCTCCCACTAGGTCTCTGGATTGCCAACCATCTCTGCCAGTCCTACTTTTAAAGCGAGGCTTGGTAACCCATGCCCCAAATTTCAGTGATTTAGGAGACTGAAGCCACAAGTTTGAGGCCACCCTCAGCAACTTAGCAAGGCCCTAAGCAATTTAGTAAGACCCTGTCTTGGGAAAAAAATAAAATAAAAAGCACTGGGTATAGGGCTCAGTGGTTAAGCACCCCTAGGTTTAATCCCCAATACCAAAAAAAAAAAAAAAAAAAGAAAGTTTTTTGATATAAAATGAGAAAAATTCACATAAAACTAGATGAACAAAGCAAAGATACATTTCTGTGTCTAGGAATGTGTGCCTGGAGGGGCCTCCCAAACTCTTAGAATTCCCGTGTCTGCAGTTGCCCCTCTACCCTTCTGTTTCCTGCTCTTTCTCTCTGTGTGCTGACCTCATTTTTTCCTGAGACAGGCTTCCTCCCTGTGGTTGGGGGAGCTGCKGTGGAGACATCTCTGGAATGACTCTGAAGCTCCTCGGCCAGGTTTAGCCACCCCAGAGCTTTCCAGAACTGCTCTGTCTGAATGAGTCTCTACAGCATTACAGAGAAGATCTCTGATGGCCCAGGCTTGGGAAATGTGCCCACTGTGGGGCGGGAGGGAGGGCAGAGGCGCTGGCTGGTGTGACGGCAGCTCTTCCAGAGCCATATGGTGGTGGGCGGTTCTCTGAAGGAGAAAGCTGTCTATATGAGAAGAAAAGGGAAAGGATGTTGGCCCACGAAACCACAGGTGGCAGCCACGAGTGTCTGAGGTGGTGTGGAGGAGAGGGGACAGGAGGACTGGGGCCAGATTCTGCAGAGCATTGACTTCTGCCGTGAGGAGTTCACACTTAYTCTATAGAAAATCCCTTCATCCCCTGGTTCATTGTCCAGAGTCTGCTCCCGTCAGCCCTGTTCTGGGCACTGGGTGCTCTCAGTGGCCTGGGCTGAAGAGACAACAGCCCTGTGAGGGCACAGTCCCAGTGCACAGGAGCAGTGCTGCATGCACCAGCCGGTGGTGTCTGACCACGGGGGCATGGTGGGTGGTTAGAGCTGGGCATGGGGGGCGCTGACCCACCCAGCCCCTCCCACCTTCCTTCCTGCAGGTGCCTTCCTGGTGCCCTACTTCCTCATGCTGGCCATCTGCGGCATCCCCCTCTTCTTCCTCGAGCTCTCCCTGGGTCAGTTCTCCAGCCTGGGACCCCTGGCCGTCTGGAAAATCAGCCCCCTCTTCAAAGGTGAGGCCTCCGTGGTCCCTGGGCCGGGCCTCTGGAGGCGGGGAGGGTGCTCTATGCACCCGCTAAGCTCCAGGCAGAGGGACGTGAAGCCCTGGGCAGTGACAGCTTCCCAGAGGGCCACTGGGCCTGGCTGCAGAGTTCTGCAGAGGGCGTGGCCCAGCGGCCCAGCGGCCCCTCTCTGCCCCGCAGGTGCGGGCGCAGCCATGCTGCTCATCGTGGGCCTGGTGGCCATCTACTACAACATGATCATCGCCTACGTCCTCTTCTACCTCTTCGCCTCCCTCACCAGCACCCTGCCCTGGGAGCACTGCGGCAACTGGTGGAACACAGGCCGCTGCCTGGAGCACCGGGGCGCCAAGGAGGGCAACGGGGCGCTGCCCCTCAACCTCACCAGCACCGTCAGCCCCAGCGAGGAGTACTGGAGGTCAGGCAGCCCCGCCTGGCCACCGGCCCAGGGGCCCCTACACCGTGCAGGGCAGCAGAAGAGGGGGGGGACACAGCAGCACCCCCAAGGGGCTCAGTGTCATCTCAAAGGCAGAGTCCAGGTGCTAGTGTGGGAGGACTCTGGCCTCTAATGCCAGCCCTTCACCTGCCGGCTGTGTGACCTGGAGCAATGTGCTTGGTGCCCGTCGCTTTGTCTTTAGAATGAAGGCAATAATRGTAGGTATTCCCGAGGCCGTTGCACGTAAATCAGGCAGTCCAGTGTGGTGGATAGTCAAGGCTCAGTAAAAGCTCCCTGGTGATAATGATGATGTTGGTGATGACAGTAACAGTGACACTCTGGAGTCTGTTTCCTCCTTTGTGACAGTGCTAATAGGATGTTATCCACTCATGTACTCATTCATTTTTTACTAAGTATTTATTGGGCACCTGTTACATCAAAGGGCAAAAAGCATACACAGGAAAGAGCATGTCAGATGAGTTGTACAGGAGAGACGGGTCTATAATGGAGCAGGACAGCTGTGAGATTTAAACAAGGAAATGGTGTAAAGCCATCAGCACAGGGCCAGGCACCTTGTGAGCCCCGGGAGCCAGGCCATCAGAAGGACATCGCTGCTTATCAGCCTGCCCCTGTGCCCCATTTTATAGCCAAGGAAGCAAGGCCCAGAGGCTTGCTCAGTAATTAATGGCAGAGGCAGTATTGACACTCAGGACTTCTGATTCCTAATCTCGTGGAACATTCTAGAGTAGCCTGATCTCTGGGTATTGGCTGGCCAGAGGTACCCCTATCCCTGCCTCTGCATGGAGCTGCTTTTAGGAATTTCTCCCAAATGGGCCTCATATCTTAAAATATGTCAGTCCCTAACATGGTCCATCTCACTGTTCCATTTCGAGGCCTCCCAAAGTTCTGTGCCTGCTGAAGAGCATGCCTGACCCGTAGGAAAGGACAAGCCAAAGAACCTGATGTGTCTCTGGCAGCTGCCAGGGGTCTCCATGGCAATGCCATGGCCCACTGTATCAGATGGGTGGGGGCAGGAGGCAGATGGCACTGAAGGGGGTTTAGTAAAAGGGCTCCACAGAGGGTCAGGGAATCTACAAGGAAACATGGGGCACCTGGAACAGGTGAGCACCTGCCCGCCCTGAACTAGGGCGAGGGGAGGGAATCAAGGGAAATAGGAGCCTTGGAMGAGGGCTGCCCAGCAAGAACCATGGCTCAAAGGGACATAGGCCCAGCTGGACTCTTGGATGGCACATGTGCATGTGTGAGTGTGTATGCATGTGTGTGTGCAAATGTCCACACCCTCACCTCTCCACCATTAGCCTCCTGCTGTCACCTCCCCTCAGCCAACCCCAAGTGGAAGTGGAAGAGGAAGGGAGCCTGATGTGGGGCCAGCAGAGGCCAGCCTCCTGGGACAGGCTGGTCAGGAAAGGATAGGGGGCTGGGAGGAGAGGCACGGGGCCTCGCACGGTGGACACAGCTTGGCCCCATGCTTGTAGAGTGTGGCAGGATGACAGAGGATGCTGTTTGTCTCCACAGCCGCTATGTCCTGCACATCCAGGGCAGCCAGGGCATCGGCAGCCCTGGGGAGATCCGCTGGAACCTCTGCCTCTGCCTGCTGCTGGCCTGGGTCATCGTCTTCCTCTGTATCCTCAAGGGTGTGAAGTCCTCGGGCAAGGTGAAGCCCGGGGGAACGGAGATCTGGGGCAGGGCGGGGACTCTGGAGGAATCAGGGCCTGGCCTGAGGCTGGGGAAAGGACAGGCTTCACTGGGAAGAGGGGAGGGGTAGGCGTTGAGCTGGGGACACTGCTGAGGACAGATGTGGAAGTGAGGGGCATCTGGGGAAGGCCACTCTACCAGACCAGAAGCCTGCTGAGGGCAGCATCCACAGGGTTTTCAAGTTGACATTCTTACCCTGGGTTTGGCACTCTGGAGGGGCCCAGCAAGTTTGTTGAGTGCTCAGAGGGTGGGTATATGAATCAGGGCTCTTGGAGATGCCAGTGACCTGACCCCAGATGTTACACTCAGTTGGAGTCCAGAGGGTGTGCTTCAGGCACAGTTGGGTCCAGGGGTTTGATGAATGTCATCAGTAATTGGCTTTTCTGGTCTCCCAGCAATGCATTGCCCTGTGTGGTCTTCCTTTAGGCTTCAGGCTTTATTCTTCCCGAGGTTGCCCCAGCAGCTGTAGACTTAGACTTGACCTTCTGGGTGAACGTCTCACCTTTCCCTCAGTGTCTTGTAGAATTTAGTCTTGCTGGGTAGGCTGGGCTGTGTCCCAGTACCCGAGCAGATCTCTGTGGCTGGGAGAGTAGGTGCCTGTGCTGAGGATGGAGTCCACCCCACTAGTGAAAGTTGGGGTACTGCTACCTGAAGAGGACAAACTAGATGCTGGGGGGACAAAGCCACAGATGTCCACTGTAGGGAATGGAGGGGCAAGGAAGCCATTTTCGAAGGACTTGGTAACCTTCTGCTGCTCACTCGGTCATTTGTAAATTAGAACTTGTCTCTCTGCTAAGTGCTGAGGGGTGCTGACCCCAAGAAACAGAGCTAATAAAAAAAGACAGGGCAGGAAGCATATAGAAAGAGAGGAGGGGTGCTCAAGGTCACGGCCAAGGCAGGGAGGGATGCTCTCACACAGGGTTCACGGAAGGAGTGGCTGGAGGGCTGGGAGAGGGAAGAGGRAGGGCAGAGGGGAGTTTGGGGGTGATGACCTCACAGAGCGGGTTTGCAGGGGCAAGGTGTGTGGACACAGGGAGGAGGAGCTCTGTCACCAGTGATGCTGGCCTGGACCAGGGGCGACAATGGAGATGGACCTGGGGTGGACTTGGGGAGCAGGGTGACAGCACTTAGTTGATGGTTAGATGGAGAGTGTCAGGAGGGAGGGAGGAGACACACTGGACAATGGCTGGTTCCTGGCTTGTGCCACCTGAAGGTTGGGAAGGAGATTGTCTCTGATGAGGATCTCAGGATAAAGAGGGGTTGGGGGTCCCCCACTTTCAGCTTCCCACTGRTCACTTCTCAGGTGGTGTATTTCACGGCCACATTCCCCTACCTCATCCTGCTCATGCTGCTGGTCCGCGGAGTGACCCTCCCTGGGGCCTGGAAGGGCATCCAGTTCTATCTCACCCCCCAGTTCCACCACCTGTTGTCTTCCAAGGTGAGGTCCTCGGTGTGGGGTGCAGAGCAAGGGGAGTGGGGGAACAGAGGGCAGGAGACCTCCAAGTGGGGAGCTCCCAGCAGCAGGCCCTTCCTATGTACTCGTGTCATTTATCATTCTTTAAAAAATCCTTTGAAGTAGACATTATTCTCCCCGTTGTATGGATGAAGAAACTGGGGTCCACAAGAATTAGTGACAAGCTTAAAGTTACATAGAWAGAGAGTGACAGTGGGAATCCCAGCCCAGAGCTGATGAACTCCACACCCGAAGAAGGCATTAGGAATAATGACAAGAACAACAGGGTTCCGGCASCTAACATTTATTATTTATTGGCCAYRACAGTGCCTGACTGTGCCCTGGCATTGAGCTCTGGAGCAGTGGTGCASTCCTTCCTGCCCTGGGATCAGCAATTCAGGGTGACGATGTGGCTTCCTGGGGCTGAACAGCTACTAATTGGGGAAGCTGGGACTCAGTCCAGGTCCCTCTAACTCTAGGCAGGAAGTCAAGGGTTACCTGGGCTTATTGTCAGATGAATCCACTGCAAACTCTGTTAGGTGCTCCTTCCTTTACAACTGAACCAAGCTTAGAGGTGAGCTATATGCTAGGTGGGAAACCGGGGCCCTGAGAAGGGAAAGGAGCCCCACACACCCCACAGTGGAAGTTGGAGCAGGGTCTTTCCTGGCCCGTGTCGTGGGGCTGGCTCTTCCCCATGCCTGTCCCCCAGCCCAGCCTTGTCCCTTGCTTCTCTTCCTGGGCCTCTGCACACCGCTGTAAACCAGCCCCTTCTCTCTGCCCTTCACCTCTGTCCTTTGCCCGCACAGGTGTGGATCGAAGCTGCTCTTCARATATTCTACTCCCTGGGTGTGGGCTTCGGGGGTCTCCTCACCTTTGCCTCCTACAACACATTTCACCAGAACATCTATAGGTCAGTGCCTGCAGTTTCCCCACAGCCTGCGGCCAAAGCAGGAAAGAGAGTGGCGGGCCAGGGAGGGCCTCGGGTAGAGGGTGTGGCCGCGGCTCACCCTGGCCTGTGCCCGGACTTCTCCTGGCAGAGACACCTTCATCGTCACTCTGGGCAATGCCATCACCAGCATCCTGGCTGGCTTCGCCATCTTCTCCGTGCTGGGCTACATGTCTCAGGAACTGGGTGTGCCTGTGGACCAAGTAGCCAAAGCAGGTGGGCAGGCTGCCAGATGTAGTGTGAACGCACGTGTCGGCCACAGCTGGGGCTGGGCCAGGGAGCATACGTGTGACCAGAGAGGTTGTGGATGGGTATGCTGTGTGAGTGTGTGTGTGTGTGTGCACACGTGTGTACAAATGTGTATGCAAATGAACATGTCTTGATCTCTGGGTGTCCAGGTGCAAAGGCATAGGTGTGCAAATGAGTGTACATTAATCTGTGWCAGGAGATAAATGAGTTTCTGTAGGAGATTGTCTTATCTTTCCTGCCTTGTTTGTCCAGATGAGTCACTTCCTGGGTGAGATGTCTGTGTGTAAGTGAATCAGGGTGAGGATGATCTTGTGGATCAGTGTGCGGTGCTGGTGGATGTGAAAGTGTGTGTTAGTGAGATTCTTGGTACAAACTAACTGTATGTTTTAATGAGGTTTTATGTTTGGATCCCGGGATTGTCCATCCACTCATTATCAAGACCCTCATTCTGTCAGGTTATTATTGAGCACCTACAACGTGTCCTAGGAGTTAAGACAGCGTTGGAAGCGTGCATTCAGTGTATGTCTCTGAGTTGAGCTAAATGAGCATGCCCAAATGCGTGTGTGTGATCGTGTGTATTTGAGTGTGAATGTGGGGGCCATGGCATGCCCCAAACTGCTGACCCCGTGTGCCCTTGGCCCAGGCCCCGGCCTGGCCTTTGTGGTCTACCCACAGGCCATGACCATGCTGCCCCTGTCCCCCTTCTGGTCCTTCCTCTTCTTCTTCATGCTTCTGACCCTCGGCTTGGACAGCCAGGTGAGCCTGGTGCCTGGGCTGGGCTGGGGTGTGGGTGGGGGAGGCAGAACCCTGACCCCAGCCTGCYGCCCCCACCGTCCAGTTCGCCTTTCTGGAGACCATCGTGACGGCTGTGACGGACGAGTTCCCRTACTACCTGCGGCCCAAGAAAGCTGTGTTCTCGGGCCTCATTTGTGTGGCCATGTACCTGATGGGGCTGATCCTCACCACCGACGTGAGTAGGACGGCAGGGAGGATGGCGGGAGCTGGGCTCTGGTACCTGTGGCCTGGAGGAGTGGTCACTGAGCCACCTACGAATCCCCCTTTTGAAGGAAGCTGTCCCTCCCAGGCCCGGTCTCCCCAGGGAGGTCGCTTGGCCTGGTGATGGAGGGTCCTAGTCTGAAAGGCCTGGGTCACGCTTCACTCCTGCTTGAGTGACCTCAGTTGACGTCACTTCCCTCGGCCTGTTTCTCCTAACTGGTAAAAGGGGAGGGGGTTTCTACAGAGCAGGGAGGCTCCCTGAGGTGCTGTTGGTACAGGGCTGGGCAGGTAGACGCCACACGGCGTCACCGGGCTCCCCCCGGCAGCCTCTTGCTCACTCCTGCCAGGACAGGCGGCTGCAGCGGAGAGCGAGGCTGGGCTGGTGGGGACCCTGGAGCTGTGCCTTGTGTTCCAGGGAGGCATGTACTGGCTGGTCCTTCTGGATGACTACAGTGCCAGCTTTGGACTGATGGTGGTCGTGATTACCACGTGCCTCGCCGTCACCCGGGTGTATGGTGAGAAGGCAGGGGAGGCAGAGTCCAGGCTCCCTGAGGTGGGAGAATGGAGTCTACCTGGGGCCCCTATTGCCTGGGTCCCTGGCCCCAAAGGCCATGATTTCTGGTGGGGTTTTAGGGTGGAGGAGGGGCTCTAGCAGTCTCGGGCTACGGGTAGGGCCATTCCTCCTCCTCCCCTCCCCCCGCATGCAGGCATCCAGAGGTTCTGCCGAGACATCCACATGATGCTGGGCTTCAAGCCGGGCCTCTACTTCAGGGCCTGTTGGCTGTTCCTGTCCCCAGCCACACTCCTGGTAACCACGAGTGGGTGGGGGGTGGGTTGGTGGCTGGGGTCCCCAGGCTGAGCACGTGGGTCCCCTCTGTGAACTCAGTCTGGTAGGGCCACCCTGGCCCAGAGTGGAGCCTATGGCAGGGCTGCAGGGTGGGCATGAGATYCTGACCTTGCTCCCCTGCAAGGCCCCCAACTTTCATAGCTCAGCTGAGCTGAGCTCAACAGTTCTTTGGCAAAATGGGTGGGACTTTCCCAGGCCCTGGGGCCTCAGGGCTGGGGCCTTGGCACTGTGCTTTCTTGGTCTTTTCTTGGTCTTGCTTTCTTGTGCTTCAGAACTGGGCAGTCCCCGGCCTTAGTGTGTTGGTCAGCTTGGAGCTGGGCTAGCCCYAACCTTGCAAAGGCTTCAGAGATGGACCATCTTAGGATCTGGTATAACTTAGGATACTGCATGGCTTGGGGCTAAGCTCTCTCAGGTCTTAGGATGGTCCTGGGCTGGCYTATTTCAGGCTTTAAGGTAGCTCAGACTGGGTCATCACAAGCCCTGGGGCCCACCTGAGGCCCCCGTGATGCTGGAGGTCACCTATCCTGCAGGCCCTGCTGGTGTATAGCATCGTCAAGTACCAGCCCTCAGAGTATGGCAGCTACCGCTTCCCCGCCTGGGCCGAGCTGCTGGGCATCCTCATGGGCCTGCTGTCCTGCCTCATGATCCCAGCTGGCATGCTAGTGGCTGTGCTTCGAGAGGAGGGCTCTCTCTGGGAGGTGAGTCTGCACCACCCTGTCCACCTTCAGCCTTTCTGACCTGTGCCCTGCCCTGGGCCTTCCACTAGAACAGAAAACACTGGCCCCCACACCGTATCCAGGGACCCACATGAACCGGGCAGATTCAGGGGCTCAAGTTCTGCTCTGTGGCTCCTCACAACAAGAGGGGCCTTGGAGGACGGAACTGACCAGTCCAAGTCCAAGGTCCCCCCATGAGTGGAACAGAGAATGGGGCTTAAATTCAGGTGGCCAGCCCAAGTTTTTATGTGGAATTCAGTCAAAAGACAACTGAGAGACTCCAGAGGGTGGGCTGTCATCTTCTCCTGTGACCAAGAGTCCTGCTGTGTCTCATAGGTGGCCAGGGGTAGAATGATGGTGTGAGGACTATGGACAGGGCTTTGTGGAGAGACCTAGAAAACAGAGAGAGTACAAGCTGTTGGGCACAGAGGTCAACTGGCCTTSAAAGAGGGAAATCGTGACCTGCTCTGGGCCAGCAGGTGAGCTGTTTGAGCACAGCAGATCCTGCCCCGCTCTGAGCATCAGGGCACCATCTATGCACTGAGCCCTTCACTTGTGAGGCTGTGGGTTCAGAGTCTCTGGTGGTCAGAGGCTGACATCACGAATTAAGCTTGGAGGGAGCCTGAGACCAGACAAAGCCTGGAGACCACCCTCCCTACACCCATCCTATCCCCTCCCTAACCTTATCCTACAGCAATAGAGCAATAGAGCCAGCTGGTCCTGTCCCATGAGAGCTAATGGTTAAATATTCAGGGATGTGTGTACCTGTTATTAAACCATTAGTAGCTAGGATTCCATAGTGGTAGAGAATCAGCTACAAAGTAGGCCTTCCATTCCCTCCCGCTCCCCCTCTACCTTCCCTCTCCCTGGGGCCAGTTTACCAGCACAAGACTGCCCCCTGCCACCCTACTGCACTGACCTTCCGCTGCCCTCAGCTCACCTCCATATCTCTACCTGGAGGAAGGTGCATGCCCTCCACCCCTCAGCAGCAGACAGGTTGTGGCCGCACACCTCAGACCATAGAGGCTCTGCCTCCAATTGCTGTGTGACATGAGCAAATCCTTCCCTTCTCTGAACCTTAGGACCTTCTCCCCACCACCTTGCTACTAAAGGGGTGGTCTGCAGGGAGTCTGCACAGGGAGGCTGCTCTGGTGCCGGCTTCAGCTCCCAGGAAGCCCAGGGTCCTTAACCCTGCTGATGGGCCCCTGGCAACACTGGGATCCCTGCAGCCACCACCTCCCGCCCTCCCTGCTACAGAAGCTGCCCACAAACCCAGTGGAGCATGCGTCCTGCTGGGGCTCCCTGGGAGGGACKGTCAGCACTGCAGAGGAGCCGCTGCCCAGCTCAAGAGTGCTGCCTTCAGAGACCAGGGCTTCCAGCATGGACTCCTTAGGATCAGAATCCTGATTCTGCCATTTGCCCACAGCAAGAATGATCCTAAGCAAGTTACTGCACTTCTCTGAACCTCAGTTTCTCCAGCTTTAAATAAGGACAGCAATAGCTATTCTGTGAGCTTATGGTAGTCAGCATTGTGGGGGCAGAAAAGCAGAATATTCAAAACACATAGGATGGCATCAGACTGCCTGGGTTCAAAACCAGGCAACTTAACTGACCTCTCTGAGCATTAACTTTCAGACGACATCTGTGTGGGTAAAGGGTAAGTACCCCCTCTCACGGGGAAACTRTAAAGATTAAATAAGCTAACTCTTAGCTGGAATATGCCAAATGCTCAATGATAGACCAGGAGTTCCCACAGAAGGTGATTTGTCCTCAGAGGGCACTTGGCAACATCTGAAGACATTGTCAGTTGAGATGGAGGGGATGAGGGGGACAAGGCCATRCTACTGTCATCAAGCGGGCAGACACCCATGATGCTGCTAAACACCCTTCCAGGCACAGGGCAGCCCCACCATAGCCCTGGAATTCTCCAGACCAAAATGTCAGTAGCATTAAGCTGGAGGAACTTGGTCTGGGCGCTGGAGTTCAGCTGGGAACATATGAAATCCCTGCTCTCAAAGTGCCTGTGTTCTAAGGTGGGAGATGAGGCAGTCACTAAACACACCCTGTAGTAGTAAGTGCTATACTTAAAACAAGCACAAAACAAAAAACAGAAACCAGAGTTTCAGGAATAGCCAGGGTGTTCAGAGAGAACTGGGGAAATGGACACAGTAATACATGTGGGTGTTTAGGGGGAGAGCATTCTAGGGCGATGGGGGCAAAGCCCTGGAAACTGTGAGAAGGTGGGTGCCACTGGAGTAGAGGGAGTGGAGGGAAAGTGGCAGGCACCAAGGTCAGGAAGGTTCATGGGACAGGAGACGGACCCCATGGTAAATACTTTGGCTGTYATTCAAAGTGAGAGGAGAAGCCATTGCAGGTTTCTGAGCAACAGGGTTCTTGCCTTTCAGTAAGCGTCACCGTGCTGGGAAAGTCAAGTGTGCAAGGCCCTGGGCCAAGGGCATTACACACAGTATCTCCCCCAGGACCTGCAGCCTGTGGCTTCCCTTACGGTCAGCGGCCTCCCTTTCCCTGAGGGAGTGGGGCTTTCCTCCCCGGCAGGGCAGGCAGAGGGCTCTGGGAACGTGGTCCAGGAAGGAGGTACTCTGGAATGTCCAGGCTTAGTCATCACCTCAGCAGCACCCTCCTCCCATGGAAGCAGGGGCTCGGAGAGGGAACAGTTAGAGTCAGGGCGGAGAGAGGCCCGAGGGCCAGCTGTCACCCCCACCTTGTTTCTCCTGTCTCATGGCTTTTTCCTAAAACCTCCAGTCCCATTGGATTCAGCATTTAAAGGAAGGGACCCGGAGGGGACCTCTCCTGGATCCACCTTGGGATGCTCAGGAGAGGACCCTGCCCCGTGATCATAGCAGCCAAATTCTGCATAGCCTTGCCCTGTCCCCAGCACTCTGCCAAATGCRTCATCTCAAAGCCCTCACAATGACCCTATGAGAGCTCCTGACTCCCAAGCTACAGACCGAACCTGCAGGCTACCCAGCTTGTAAGCTGCAGAGCAGGGTTCTCATTCAGACATGGAATCACTCCTTTGGGGAAGTAGTAGAGCGCCCCCTCCACCTGGGGTTGTTGCAAGGACTCAACCAGGTGACTGGTCAGGCCTTTGCTGGCTGCCTGGCTGCAGAAAGCACTCAGCATCCACTGGTGCCTCCACGGCTGTCTCTGCTCTGTCACAGAGGCTCCAGCAGGCCAGCCGGCCAGCCATGGACTGGGGCCCGTCGCTGGAGGAGAACCGGACAGGCATGTACGTGGCCACGCTGGCTGGGAGCCAGTCACCCAAACCACTGATGGTGCACATGCGCAAGTACGGGGGCATCACCAGCTTCGAGAACACGGCCATCGAGGTGGACCGAGAGATTGCCGAGGAGGAGGAGTCCATGATGTGAGACAGAAGGCAGGCAGACGGGAGGCCCTGTCTGGGGCCACACAGGCCCTCTGTGGGGGCTGCAAGAGGCAGCCGTGACTGCCGGGATTCTGAGAGGCTACGGGAGATTGCTACAGAGATGCTGGTGTCCCCAAGACAAGTTGAAGTCTCTCCTGTGACCTCTGCCTTGCCTGAACCCTCTGGCCAGCCCCCTACACACACACACACACACACACACACACACACACACCCTTCAAAGTGAGAAGACAGTTCAGCCTTCACTTTGCAGATGGACATTTGAGGCCAAGAAGGGTGGGGCCTGGCCCCAGGTCAAATGGCCGAGAGGACTTGGCCCCCAGCCTCTGAACTGGTTGCTCCCTTTCTCTTGGGGCAGTGGGCACCACATTCCCATTTTGTTCAGGGCCCAGATCCTCCTTTGCTCCAGAAGCTGTCCTTCCACACTTTCACACACCTGAACTTGAACCTGGGGTTCAGGGCAGCCATAGGCACTTGAAGCTCCCAAGTCTCTGGGAGTTAAAGGTCAATAAATTAAGTGAGGAGAAAGATCCCTGTGGGTTCCTGTGTGCAGGCAGGCTCCCTGAGGGGGTGGGAGCCGAGGGTCCTGGAGGAGGAGGAGGTTTGCAGAGAGGAAAAAGAAGGGAGGGCCTCAGCCAGAGCTGCCTGGTGGGGTCAGGAGGAAGCCAGCCTGCTGGGTTGAAAACCAAGAGTGCCCAGAGATGCTGGGGGGTTAGGTTCCAAGAGGGCTCAAGTCAGAGCCAAGAATAGCAAGGAGAGAGGAGAGGGACGGGTGGGGGTGGGAGGGGATTTGCATGATACAGAATATCATTTTGGACCTGTTCAGGGTTGGTTAGGGGACAGGGTACAAGTGGGAGGCTGTGGAGGGCCGGCCGGAGGTGCTGGTGGCCTGAATTAGGACTTGGAGTGGGGGTGGGGAAAGGAAGGCTGTCAGAGAGGCCATACCTTCACCCAGTGGACCTTGTGCCCTGTGCCAGGGAGGACAAACAGCCTCTGCTGTGGAGGTAGTCTCAGTCAGGGGTCTTAGGATCCAGGGCTTCTCTCCCCTCTGCCCCATCCTGGCAGCCCCTACCGTCGCCTCCAGCTCCAGGCGCTGCTGGAAAATTGGTCTTGGCTGTGAATGTCAAGGGCAACCGAGGGTCTCAGAGATGGTCCCAACAGGATCATCTGGTCCTGATGCCACCCATCCTGCTCCAGGGCAGGCATGAGGGCAGAGGGCAGTCCTGGAGCTGTGAGTCCCTGAGAAATGAGATGCGCAGGCCTGCTGAGCTGGTGTCCAGCACATGGACCTCCAGGGTGTGGCAGGTGTCCCCGGGGGGGGGGGCTATGGTGGGCCCTTGTGCCCTGCCTCTCCTGGCATCTCCCCACCCATCTGTGTTCTCTTGGTTGATTGTTAATAAATACCAAATGAGGTCATCCTCCTACAGTGTCTCCTTACTGCTGAGAGCGGGAGGCAGGCCGCACAGGGTGCTCCAACTCCCGCTGGACAGATGGGGAAACTGAGGCTCAGCCGCCTCCTTCCCAGCTCTCCTGGCTTCTGACTCTTGCTCTGCCCTTCTCTGTGGCAGTGGTGGGAGTAGCAGGGAGCTGAGGAAGGAAGATGAACTCTGGGCCCTTAGAAACTACATATGTCACATATGGACAAGCTGAGGTCCACATAGGGCGAGCCACAGACCAGGGTTCGCAGGCGTCACCCTCCTCAGCTGCCTTCTTTCCCTCTGCAGCGTCCCCTCTACCCTTCCTGCAGGTGAGGGCTGGATCTGGAAGACCAGGCTTGGGAGGAGCCTAGGGGGTCCCAGGGAAGAATCTCCTGGTCTGCCCACCCACTGGAGGCAGGGCCTTGCCATATGAAAGGGCCGCAGGCCTTGCAAATGCGAGGCCCAGGTGTTTGCAAGGCTTTGATTGGGGTGGAAAGGAAGGGGCTGTGCTTTGGGGATATTAATAAATTTYCCTTTCCAAAGGGCCAGGCCCCTCCCATCCCTCTTTGATGAGGGCTCCAGGTGGGGGAAGGAGACCCATTTGCTAATTTTTTTAGGGGGAGGGGTACTGGGGATTGAACTCAGGGGCACTCAACCACTGAGCCACATCTCCAGCCCTGTTTGTTTTGTATTTTATTAGAGACAGGGTCTCACTGAGTTGCATAGTGTCTCACCATTGCTGAGGCTGTCTTTGAAATCTCTATCCTCCTGCTTTAGTCTCCCAAGCTGCTGGGATTATAARCGTGCCCTACCAGGCCTGGCTCCAGTTTGCTAACTGGCTGAGGATGGGGAATGGCCTTCACCAGGCATTCTTCCCTCAGCCAGGGCCAGGCTCCTGGTCGGGACACTGGTGCTCATAGTTCCCAGTCTGAGGAGTGAGCACTGGTCGTGGAGGCACTCCTCACCAGGGCGTGAGGTTGGAGGGTCTTGGAGACTCGGGTCCCACCTGCTTCCCCTCCCACCTCCCCTCAGCTCCTCTCCCCTCCTCTCCCCTCCCCTCCCCTCTGTGCCATCCCAGCCCAGGGCCTAAGGTTCCTGTACTGGCCTTCCCTGGCCCCGTCCTTATTCTGTCCTGCTTTTTCCATTTCCGATGCTCTCAGACAGCTCTTCCTGCCCCTCCACTCCCTCTGCCACCCTCACCATTTCCCAGCTGTTCCCATCCAGGTCCCATCCATCCAGGACCTTTACTGATTCCAGGTCTCCCTGATGATAGACTCCAAAAGACCCCACCCAGGCCCTGCCCCTGGAAGGAACTGACTGGGAAAACGTCAGCTCTCTCCGGGGTAGGACCCCAGTGTAGAATTCCTAGAATGTCCTGGCAGGTGGCCATCCCAAGGGCCCAGAGGGCCAGTCAGGGAGCCCAAGMAAGAAAAGTTATTGGTAGAAGTGGGAGAAGAACTGGCAACTGASCCTTAGTGGGTGTTGGAGACACAGGAGCGGGTGGGGGGGCTCTGGAGCAGTAGGGAAGGCAGCAGGCCTCTATTAAGAAGTGTGGGTCTCGGCCACCAGATCTCCTGCTGTTTTTTTTTTTTTTTTAAGTCTGGGATTTTGTAAGAAATTTCGCAATTTGAACCGTGGGCAACTCCTTTAAAAGATGGCGAGGAGCACGGCTCCATTCTRCCTCCAGTCCTCTCCCGCAGGCTGACTGCTCTGCAGACTTGGGGGTGAGGAGCCCAGAGGACAGAACTTGCCCGAGGTCCCACGTGAGAATGTGCCAGGACTGTCCACCCCCACGTGGTCATCTACTTGGCTCAGTCCGTGTCTGTGTCCATGGGTCCTGAAGTTGGGAGGCTGCACGCATGCTTGCCTGAGTGTGGCAGAGGGTGCTTCGGGGCCCTGCATTTTTCTCAAAGACTTTTCAAGTAAATATTTCCTTGGGTTCCAGGAAACAATGAGAGGAGACTCRACTATCTGCGATCACTGGCAGCTTCTGATCTCAGAGTGCAAATAGGGAGGGAACAAGGGAAGAGGAGGGGGAGGGGCTCCTTACCACTCCATTAGGGACAGCCAGATTCCCAAGGTCAGAGGAGGGTCAACAGACACCAGGAGTCACACTGGTAACCTTAGTGTTTGGTCCTCTGCAGGCTCCACCCTCTGGGCTCCCCTCCACTACCCTCACCAGGTTCAAGTCCTCGCTATACCCTAAGCAGACCCACGCGATCCTGCTTCCTCCCTGTCCCCATGTCTTCCCATCCACCCACTGRAATCCTAGCCATCCTTTTAGATACCTCCTGAAGACGCCTCTTCCATAAGMCTTCCTCAGTTCCCAACCAGCTGTGGACTCCTAGAATCTTCAGGGGGTCTGACTCAGCCCCACATCTGGTGAGTCCCGATGGCCCAACCTTGCCTGGAAAGGGCACTCCCATCTTTCAGAGACAAGGCATCTTCTTTCTGTGTGGTTAAGACTCTTATCACRTTCCTGGGAACTCAGAGCCCAGGGTGGCAGCAGGAGATTGTGCAGAGGGCTCAGATGGTCCAGCCACAGACCTAGGCCCACTCCCAGCTCCTCCCTCCTGAGCCATGCAATCCAGGCGGGGGGGTCACTTCACTTGTCTAAACTGTCGTTTCTTCAAAGTTTTCCTTTTCCTCCTCGGTAGCAATCTCATAAGGGGGCGGGATAATGTTCTGGGCCTCTGCACTGGCCTGGGTCTTGGTGGCATAAGACACACATCTATTAATTGAAGGAACCCATTTGTGTCCATGGTCTCTGCCCCACCACCAACTCTTCCAGAGCAGAGACTGGACTTCCCTTGTCACTCACACCTCTGCACGAGGAAGTGGAAAATCAAGCACAGTTCTCTGGTGGCTCTGGGGGCAACCAGCAAAGAGTTAAGACAGTTGCAGTCCCCTCTGAATCTCATGTGTCCCGGGTTGTGCAGCCTCAGGGTCTGCGGTGGCCATTCTTTCCAGACTCATTTTTTTGCTGGTGGCTCATGGAAAGTTTGGCTCCTTTAGCTCCAGGCCACTCCCTCTGGGGACTGAGGCCTCGCTGACGCTGGTCCTGCCCTAGAAGGGCGTCCAGAACTGCCTGCCCGCCAAGGATCCTCAGCCAACATCCCCCCCAGCTCATCTCCGCCTGACTTCCTGCTGCCCTGGCCACCTCCCACAGGACAGAGCAGCAGCCTGCCCCCTCTGGACTCCTCCAGCACCCCCATCCTGGATCACTTCTCGTTTGGGAGAAAAAAGCCTTTTCCCGCTAATGTCCACAGCATCTGTGAGCTGCAACCCCCAGGGAGTTGTMGGGAACTGGAGCCAAAGTGAATTTGGACATCCGCTGGTCAGAGCCAAATCCTGGTTCCTCAGCCCAGCCAAATATGCTACTTCACCTCTCTGAACCCCAGCATCCTCAGATGTAAAGTGGAGAGAATAGTTATCCCCTTGAGGAGATTAAATGAGATAATACTGGACACACAACATAATTTTAGAAGCTTATCAACATGCTTAAAGGCAAAGCTTAGCAGGTAGAAACCCTCTTGGTGGGATAGTTCTCATTAGCCTGCTGTTCCTTGTACAGGTGAAACACACACACACACACACACACACACACACACACACACACACACAAGCTCAGCTCCCACCTCCAACCAGCCCAGGGAGAAGGAGGTCAGGGATGGGTGTTCCTGGATCCAGTGAACCGACAAGCAAGGCCCAGGGTTTGTCAGCACTGTGGCAAGGCTCCTTGTAGCTGGGCTTCAGTGTCTCCTTTTATATAACTAACAGATTGAACAGGAACAGTGGGCTCCACTGATGGCTTGGGGAGAGAGGTGAGCAAAATGGACCCTTGGCCTCTACCCACCCCTTCAGCCTTCTGGAAGGACCACGTCTTGAGACCTGGGGAGGGGAGCAACGCCTCCTTCTTCAGAGATGGATTTGGAATTGGCTCCACCTGGTGGGAAAGAAGTTCAATTTCTCCGGCAGGACAAGCTTAAAAATTAGGAGCTCTGGTGGTCTCCCCAGTGAGCTGGTCTGCCCAAGCCAAACGAGTAGGAACCAGGGTGGGGATGGGGGAGAGGTGGGGAGCACAAGATAGGAGTGGCCACAGTAAGAAAACCATCTGATGGGCTGGGATTGTGGCTCAGAGGTAGCAGTGCTCACCTAGCATGCGTGAGGCTCTGGGTTCGATCCTCAGCACCACATAAATATAAAATAAGGATATTGTGTCCACCTATAATTTAAAAATAAATATTAAAAAAAAGGAAAACCATCTGAACCCTAAGCTTTGCTTTGACCTTGACTTTGCTGACCATGGTCAGGGTCTCAGAGAGCTTCTGGGCTTGGGTTGGCAGGAGTTTAGAGGCGGGGAGCRGCTGATGGTCAATATTGATCTAGCTGAGTCAACTCAGGGAGAGGATGGGAAAGTGGGGAGCCTGAGGTTGGCTCCCTGTGTGACTGTGGGAACCGGGACAGCGATGCTGTCTAGGCAGGACTCCCTAACCTGGGGCTTACTGAACCGACSGCTGCCTGGACTCCTGCCCAGCTTAATGTATTCTCATCTCTGAGGATGGGGTCTGAAACATCTTTATTTTTAGAAAATTCCCAGGAAGAATCTGCCGCTGCCAGACCCATTCCCATACTTGARGACCACAGTTTCAAAGGAATTGTTATAATGAGGAACTGAAACCCAGAGAGGGGATATAACTCATCTAAGGTCACGTGACCCCTTTTGGCTTGATGGGAAGGGATAGCCCACCTGGCCAGGCTGCCTTCAGGAGGTAGACTCTGAGAACTTGGCAGGCCCAGGTGCAGAGGGAGGCTGGGGTTGGCCCGGGGAAGTCAGGATGAGGAGAGGGGGATATTCCATAGGACTGGACCTGCTCCACCTGTCCCCGGGTGCCCATGCAGACACTCCCAGAACCTGCTGGAGGATGTTTCCTGAAAGAGTTACTAAAATCCAGGTGTGAGAAAGGCCATTTACATTGCCGGGGACTCACTATGTCTTAGAAAAGGACAACCACATCATGGTGCATTGGGGGCTCTCTTTCAGCCTGATACTTCTGGCTCCTCCTAATATGTTTTCATCCTTCCCACTCCATTTCTGGGCCCTTGACCTTTGCTCTGGCCTCCATGCTTCCCTCATATCTCACCCCGTGAGCACCTCCGAAAAGCCTCCAGGCTCCAGACACCATCTCTCCTCCTTCCTCGAGGCTCCCCCAGGGTTTGCACCTCTAGGTCCAGCCCCCATCCCSGCCTGCCCTGAATTCTTGTTCTGTGCATGGCTTTCACTGTCTGAGATGGCCTCAGGGATTCCTGGGAGACATCTGGCTCATTCCTGATCCTTTCCCAGAGCCCAACCTGGCTCCAGCATACCTCAGGGAAGCAGGTATTAATTGTGGCTCAGAGTCCAAATCCCCCTTCCCTCCCATATGCCCGGGACCATCTTGAGCAGCTTCCTCACCCTGTGACAGCGGTCTCCTCAGTCATGGAATGGAGAGAATGATGACAGTGCCCATCGTAGACAGCTGTGCTGAAGATTGAGAGGACAGAAGAGAAAGGATAGAGGGTGTCATGGAAGCCCCCCGAGGGACCTGCAGTGTGGACTTCAGGAGTAGACAACCAAGAGATAAGGGAGTCTCTGGTCAGGGATAGAAGGTCAAGGGTAGGGGAGTTTCTAAGAAGCCCAGTCACTATTTGCTGGTGTCCAGAGTCAAGGAAACACAGACCAGGATAAGGGAGGCCCCTGGGGGAAGTGAGAACTGTGTCTCTTAAGTTAGAAGGCTTGGTGAGTCCTGCCTCATGGTCTTGTAAGAATCCTTTTTGCCTAAGTCTTGTCTTCATCTTCAAAATAGGGCTGTCGTGACTGGCAGGAGGAGTTGTGTAAGCACACTGTGAACCACAGAGCATCACGTTCCTGTGAGATGAGGAGAGTATTTTGAAGAGAGCTGGTACTTTGTGTATATATGGCACCAGGGATTGAGCTGAATCCAGGAACACTGTGCCACTGAGCTATATCCCCAGCTCTTTTTATTTTTTAATTTTTATTTTTTTTAATTTCTTGCTAATTTTCCCAGGCTGGCCTCGAACTTACAACTCTCCTGCCTCAGTGTCGCAAGTACTTTTGAGAGTTGAAGACTGTCTGTCTCTTGAGGTCATCCTAAAGTGTGAGAACCACACAGAGGCAGAGGACAGTCGGACTTGCTCCTGTGCTGCCACCTGCTGGTGTTGTCTGTAATAGCAGCCTGAGCCCTCAAGCCCTTTGCACTGCCCAGGGGGAAGAGTCCAGCTTGCAGGTAGAGCTGGGAGTTTGTGAGCTCCAGGACAAGGTGTGAAGAGAAGTCCCCAGGTCCCTCCTGCTCTTCTCAGCCTTGGCCTGGCTCCTGCTGTGGAGGACTACCCATGTGGGCAAGGAATACACTCCCCATACACACTCCCCCTGGCCACCCCCACTTCAGCAGTAAGGAGAGACTGGGAAAGCAGCTGGTGCGGAGACTCTGGAATCCCAGGAACCTGGAGCATAGTCTAAAGGGAACTGTGGGCTCCATGGGAGGACCCCTGTGGCCCTGTTTAAGGYAGGCCTCTGGGAGTGGGGCATGGCTTAGGATGACCAACTCACCTAGTTTGCCTGAAACAAGCCTGAGATTTAGCACCAAGAATCTCATGTCAGTATCCAAGGTGGTTGGCTACTCGATCATGGGCTAAGGAGCTACAAAGTCACTGCGTTGCCACCCTGGTTCAGCCTGGCCACAGGCGAGCAGTTTGGATCCAGAGAATCTCCCTGCAGCCAATGGGCCCTCTCCTGGCATCCAACTCCCCAGCCCAAGGCCCCTGTATYAGAGGCTCCGCCCACAAACTGTAGGTATCTCTCACACCTTTCCCCAGAGAGCTCACCAGGTGCTCTGAGACCTGAGGCTAGTCTGTGAGGTTCATTCTACAAGGAAAGCCAGGGCCTGGAGGCCACAACCTCCCCCCMCMCACACACACACCCCTCCCCACCCCTTGGGGGGCTGAGGAAGACTTTACCTCTTGGTTGTTATGGGAACCTATACCCACCCCCTTGCTCTTGTTAAAGGTACCCTCAAGAACCTGAGAAGACACTGATTCCATCCCTGGTTCTGGGTGTGTGTGGGGTTGAGTGATTGGCTCAACCTTGAGCGTGTCATCTAAGCCAGTCCAACAGAATAAAGACTGGGACTTGTCTTTTTCCACAGGAGAGATCTGGGACAGAGAAGGAACACCTCTTAGCGCATGGTGCTTGGCCAAGACAGAGAGAGACAAGGAGTGCACAGAAGTTTGTAGCTATTTATTGCACTGAAAACACCAAGAATAAAACAGACACCCCTTTCCCTCCCCCGCGCCCGCCCCCAGCAGAAAGTTTGAGCAGTGGTCATTCAAGTTCACAGCCACATATTTAAAAAAAAAAAAAGAAAAGAAAAGAAAAGAAAGAACTAAAAACAGAACCCAAAACAAATAATAACAAAGAAACCAGCATGGGGAGTTGTCAAACACATCCCCCAAAGGGTCTCCCTCCGAAGGGAGACTGGAGGCCGGGGTGAGGGGACGAGCCATGGTGGGCACAGACCCAGGAGAGTGCTTTCCTGTAAACGTATTTGCATGCTGGAGTCTGGGTTTTGGCTTGGGTTTGTTTTTTTTTTTTTTTAATTTTATTTTTTGCATCTAAAGGGTGTTTGGGAGGAGCATGGAGACTGGTGAGGGTGGGCTCTGGGAAGCTTTTTCTGCCCGTTTCTCCCGCCTGCTGCCTCAGGGTCACTGTGGGGCCTYGGGGTCTACACCAGGCGGTCACCCACCCACCTCCACATTGGGGGCCATCTCGGCCTGGGGCAGGAACCTGCCTCCACTTCTCTAGCACTTGGAGAGGCACATGGTGGGCAGGCGGTGTGTCGGCCAATGACAGGTAGGACCTTGGGGTCCTTCTGCTCAGCTTCCTCTGGTAGGGAAACCAAGGTGCAGAGACGGGAAAGGATGGGCCCAAGGTCACACTGCAAGTCTGGTCAGAGCTGGGAATTGAAGCCTCCTAACCCTCCTACCACTTCTCTTTCCCCCCGCAGCCACTGCTGATGAGCAGCAGATGGCACCAAAGAGGGGACCGAGGGGCCAGCGGGGCAGAGGGTGGGGACTGGCCAGGCCCAGAAGCAAATTAGAGGCCAGTCAGGGAGGAAGCCTGGAAGTTCTCACAGGCGAGATGGGCTTCATGTCACCATCTGTGTGATCCTCCATCAGCTTGAGTGGGAACACTTAACCCTTTTAACCAATGGGGAAACTGAGGCTGGAGAAGGGACCAGAACTTGCTCGGTAATTGCAGCATCCCCTGGTGAAGGACACACCCTCAGCTTTGGCTGGGGATGGCTGGGGGGGACCTGGCAATTCACAGAGGGACAGGTGGTTTTGCTGCTGGGATGATAGGATCACTGGACAGTACTGAGAGGCCCTCTGGACCTGGGGCAGGCCAAGAGCCCACCCTGAGGCCTGGGCATCAGGGTCTCTGCAAAGGAACTTGCAGAGGCCAGCGATAGACCAGCTTGGAAACAGGAGGCTTCGGCAGCCAATTTCCTGGCCTGCAGCCCAGCCTGTCTCACCYGTCCTTGGGCAGCAGGACTGAAAAAGGAACCCAGCAGACAGCTCGTGATAGGGAAAGGCAGAAAATTCTGGATTAAATGACCTCACCAGTTCCACTCCTCCCAATACCCAGAGCCTCCTCCCAAAACCCTGGAGATGTGGCTCTTCCTCCCCTGAAATCCTCCCGAGGGGACAGTATCTCATGCTGGCAAAACACGGCCACACAGAGGCCAGAAGCACGGAGAGGCAGCAACATAATCCCGAATYGGACACTGAGAATACAACCTCTATTATTATGATTATTATTTTGTCCAAAACATGTAGATTGATTTTGCTGTTTTTCTTCTTTTCATTTTTGTTTTTAACATACTTACTGCATATAAAGTCATGCAAAGAGAACAGTGCAGACAGCAGATCCCCATGGACGTGCCAAGGCACTCACACCAGAGTCAATCCCAGGGGAAGAGGGTGGGCGAGAGGAGAAGYGAGCAGAGAGGAGGAGAGCCTGAGGTCCAGGAGGAGGCGTGGCAAGTAGACATTTCCAGGGCTCTGCTTTGACCACCAGATGCCAGGGGGAGAGAGGCAGTGAGGACACATGTTCCCGGGGCCCTCAGAGGTACGAGGGCTGCACAGACAGATGGGATGAGATCCTGGGAAGTGCAGTCATAGGACCGAGTTTTGAGGGAGTAGCAAAACAGAGCCTGGATGTTTCCATCCTGCCAACCTCCCTGCTCCCTGCTCTGCCTTGCCATCTCCTAGTCACACTGGCATCGGATRCTCCCCCATCCTGGGAGGAAAGCCTGTGTTGGCTCACCTCAGACCAGAATGGCAGAGAGACCATGATCCCTGGGCTGAGCCCCCCTTGGCCTCAGAGTACCACAGGTGACAAGGTCCATCTCAGAAATGACAAAAGAAGAAGAAAACAAAAAAAGTCTAGAACAGAATAAAAACTACCCCCTCATCCCTCTTCCCACCCCCCCTCTTGCCAGCCCAACCCTTCTCACAATAATTTGAGAGGTCTAGTTATTACATAAATATCCATCAACGCAAAATCCATTTACGAAATACACAGAAGTTTGGCTATAAAAAGGCATGCGGTCCAAGTAGAAGTGATACCTAAACGTTGCTTTCTTTTGACCCTGAAACACAACCAGATCCCCTCTCAGACAGGACCAAGCCGGAATTCTCCAGGGACCATGGGAGGGCAGGTGGTGGGTTAGCGTTGGAAGGCAGCAAGTGGGGACACCTGAGGGGTGGGACTGTCCACATGGGGGGCCAGGTCTGCTGACCAACCTCGAGGGAGGGCAGTGCAGGCCAGCAGGGGGTCAGGAAGCAGTTTGAAGCAGGGGCTCCTAGTGTCTGCTCCTCTCTTACCCTCTCCCACAGGGGAGTTTGGCTCTGGAGACTTGGGGTGTTCATCTGCCCTTCCCCAGGGACCCCAGAGGAGGAGAGATCCTCAGCACATGCCCCTCCTTTTCCCTGAACACACGGCTGGGGCATTTCTGCCTACAGCCAAGGCCAGACTAGGCCAACAACAGCCAGGTAGAGGTTGGGGGTCCCTGGGGCCAGCACCCTGGGCCCCGGGGCCTGAGGAAGCCCCACCCTGGCGGAGGGAGAGCGGAGACTGAGAACTGGGGCTGGGAGACCTGGCCATTTGCTCTGCAGTCGTGATGGCTTTGTGAACAGCAGGTTTTCTTGATGCAGGTACAGAGTTGACAGTGGCGGTGGTGGGACAACGTGATGGGGAGAATTCCAGCAAGATCCAAGTGGGAGAACCAGCAGCACATTCCACGAACAAGGAGTGGACCCTTGCGACACAGCAACGCGGCGACCCCAGCCTGGTCCTTCAACTGCAAGGCACAGTGCAGATGGTGAGCCCCAAGGAACCTGAGGGAGCCCGCCYACCGCCTCCCAGGGCTCTGGTCCAGCTCGGCCCCCCCGGACCTGCAGCTCCCGAGGTCTCCCTCCTGGGCTCCTCCCACCTTGCTTGGTGGCTTCAGAGACAGGTCCCCGCTCTAGGCCAACAACCCCCCATGCCTTTAGAATACCCTGGGGCAAGTGGGAAGGAAGGATTCTTACTGGGGCAGGACAGAGGGCGCCCCGGATCTGTGGAAGTGGACAATCTGCCATTTGCCATCCCTGCGGTGCCAGACGCGGGTCTCCTCTGACTGGGCGGTGCGGGGAATGCCGCCCGCATCCAGATACTGCGTGATGCGGATGTAGGCGATGCAGGCGGACTCGTCCCCCATCAGGTGGATGTGGGGGTTCAGGATGGTGGTGTGCACAGGCTTGCTGTTCCGGGACCACACTGGAGGCAGGGACGGGAGGGGCAGAGCAGATGCAACTGGGGGGCCTCCTGCCTCCCCTCCTTCACTTTCTCAACTCGCAGGAGCCCTATCAGGGGAGGCCCCTCCCCCTGCCTCATTTGCAGAAGGGGAGTCTTGTGAGAGGGCTCGGATAGCTGGGAGTCCAGGCAGAACTGCTAGGTAACAGAGACCTCCCACCCCCGTGCAGACGCAGTGAACTCCAGACACGCAGAGTTTTCCAAACAGGAGGGAGTGGGATTTTACAATCATAGTCTCTTGGACACACGGAATTATAAGGCCAAAATGATTAAGGAACTAGGTGAGCTCCACCTGCCTCAGACCCAGATCCTACATGGGCCAGGCAGGCACAAAAATGGACCCTTCTGGGTCAGGGAGATGACAGGGAGTAATGGGAACTGTGGCGGATAGACCTCCTTGTCCCATCAAAAGGGAGTGCCTGGCCCACAGCTTCGCTGGGGTTACCATGTGAATAGGTGGGACCCCTGTTGCCACACTGGGTGTCTCAAGAGGATCTGGAAATCTGGATGTTTCTATGAAACTCTTCACTTTTATTAGTGATATAGACTTTGAATTTAAAACATGACACAGGCCACATGGAAAGCTTSTGCAGTCCAGATATGACCTGTGGGCTGCCTGTTGGCCACCTCCATGAGAAACATACAGAATTGTGAAAACAGGGAGAATATGAGAATTGTAGAATCTTAGAACCTTTAACTTTTGGGATTGGTAGTCATGGAGTGAGGTCATGGAGCTTTCCAGAGTTTAGGGGGGGATGCATAGCTCTTGTAATCATAACTGAACTGATAAAAGGATCTGAACTACCTCYTGCTATATGAGGTCACCACTGCAATTATTATTATAGAACAGCTGTTTTTCTTTTTTTCATCAAGATAAAAAATAAAAGCACAGAAAGACAAYGACCCAGGGGTGGGTTAGAGAATCAGTTGGCTGATTCTCACCCTTTCGAGGAACCCTTAAGAAGAGCCCCAATATAGGTCCTATTTGAATAACTGATTCAAAATGCACATTCTTCAGTTCCACCCCTAGACACCCCAGTTTAAGAGACTAATAAAAATCTCCCTTCCCAGTCCCCATCCTCAGATTCTGATATGCAGCCAGATTTGTGAGCCACTTATTTCCTGAAAAGTGTAAAGAGTCTAATTTTTTTCTGGATTGCAGAAAGTACCCAATAGCCTCCATTTCCTAATATTGTAATCACAGGGTTTTCAATAAATCACCAAAATCATGAGTCTTCGACATATAGAATAACAGGCTTAAAATTCTGGGCTCTCAGGCATACAGAAGGTGGAGCTTTAGTGTCATTGACTTGGGTAGCCTCAGAGGTCAAAGGGCACTCCTAAACAAAGCATCTGTGCAATGTCCCTGACAGCATGCAGGGAGGAAAAACCAACTATTTTAAAGCATCTCTCTAGTAGGAAACTGAGGTCCAGAGAAGCCGTCTAACTTGGCCCAACCTGGGCCAGTTTCTGAAAGTACTACAACAGAACCTAAAAGAAGTCAGGCTCCTGGTGGAACTGAATTAGSACAATACAGAACAATTCCAGAAGGGATGAACGGTTTAGCATTGTCAGGGGGTGGGTATTACCACTGTTGTTAAGGACTGAGGTCCCCAGGACACCATGTTAACATGGTGTCTCTCATCTAGATTAAAGGCCCCAGTATCCACCCTATGGATAGGGTGGGAAACAAGGCCACRCCCTCTACAAGAAAGAACTAGCCACATGGAGGGTATGAGTGAGTGGCCACTCTCGGTCTTTTGCTCCTGTGGATGCTGCCTTGGAAGTGACCAGATGGTCAAGACATGGGTCAGCGCAAAATGGCRGCTGCTGCACAGGCAGACGGGAACTGCAGGGGTTCCTCTCTCTGTTTGGTCCCATGATCATCCCTGCACCCTCAAAGTGGAGCCTTGGCCTGGTCTCTGCTCTGATTTGTCAGGACAGGAGAGTTTATACCAGGTGACCAGYGCCCCCATAGCAGAGGTATGGTAGTAGCCCAGGATCTGTGTGTGAACTCCAGGGTGATGGGGACCCATGGGGCCCAGCCACCCCTCTTCACATAAGGATTTCATCTCTACTGCTGCTGATTTATTAAAGGAAGATGTAGCTTCATTCTTCACAGCTTTTTTCTAGGGAGAGGTCCCCTGTAGTCTGTACTCTATAAAATTCAGTTAGAGAGGGTACAGGCCAGGGAAGGAATGTCCCCCCTAACTGGAGGCTGCTACTGTGCAGATGGAGCTGGTGACACTGGCAATGGGAGGAGAGTGAATCAGGTTTAGGTTCTGCCTCTGGTTTCCTTTGGACAAGTCATTTCCCTCTTTGGGCCTCAGTTTCCTCTTCTGAATGACAAAGAGTTGGACGAGATCTTCGGTCACTGAAGTACCAACCTTGCTGTTTTGACCATATRCAAGGGCCACCTGTGCTTATTTCATGAAGATATGTTCCTGGRTTGACTCACTTTACTAATTTACATGTTTATTTTGAAAGAAAACTTTTGTGCACAAGCATTAATGAACAATCAGTATCATAGAATAAAATCTTAATACTAAGTTCAGAGAAAATAAAGTTACGCAACTCTATCCCAGGCTCTTGCCTGCCAGGGATTGAAGCCTAGAATTGGCTTAATCCTTGATATAAAGGGAYATTAGTTTGGAGACCTGGTAAGGATAGGCTAGCACCCAACTGAGCCTTTCCCCTAGGTTGGAGCAGGAGTATGGAAAGAGATTTTCRAAGGAACAGCCTTCTCCCTGTGATAGTCAGTGTTTCAGGTGGTGCCTGCACAGCCCTGAAATCCTGTTGCATAGTCCTAATGGTACATGCCCCTCACCTTGGGGGGGCCCAGATAGACCGCCTCTGGGGTCCTTCCTCCAGATCCTAAAGCTGCATGAGTCTAACCTGCATGCCCATTTCCTGGTCCCTGTCCGACCCGTGGCCTAGGTGAGACACAGACACAGGCAGAAAGCACCCCAGGGCAGGCCCAGCTGCAGCCCCCTGACAGCCCCTGGTTGCAAAGCTGGCGAGGTCTCTCCTGCAGAGGAGAGGCCCAGAAAGGACGGACATGCAGGACAGAGACCTAGACAAACAGGCAGGGGCACAGCAGTGTGAGCTCGCTGTCCCCCCCTCTTTCCTGCACTGCCCGCCTACAGGGGGCATGTGCACCACAACCCAGGAGCCAGCTTGTGACCAGCGGGGCAGCCGGGATGGCTTCAGACATCACGATGTAGCTTGGGGTGTGAGCCAGTGGGAAGGCTCCCTTATCTATGAAACAGGAACTAATGCCTGCCCCAGACCCCTCCCAGGGTCAAGGATAGGAGAGGGCTGCAATGGCTTGTCACCAGTATCCCTGATTTCTGGGAACCCCCCACCCCACCTTGCCCCATCCTCAGCCACAGGAGGGACAAGTCAGGCCGGCAGTGGATAGGCCAGGGTTAGGAGAGGGAACCAAGAGGGTACCAACCCTGGTCCATACGGAATCCTCCTCTTCTCTGGCTCCTGAGCCGCCCCTGGGGCCCTGCCCGTCACCCTGCTGTGCCATCCGGCAGGACATGGAACGAGAGCAGACAACAGGCACCCCAGAGAGAAGGGATTGCTCACGGTTTTCAAAATAGAATCGATGGAAGTCCAGGCCCTCGACCAGGTTCCCCAGGGCCTCGGGTTCGAAGGCCGTCATCCCGGGGTCGCACATCTTCCTGGGGGAGGAAGCCAGAGGAAAGAGGGGCTGGGGCAGCTTCTTGCTGTGGCCTTGCAGGGGGAGCCCCTGAAGGGCRATCAGGGAGACTGCTGGAAGGGGCTTGCAGACTGCCAAGTGTGGGGCATGGCTGAGTGGATGGTGCCATCTAGATCSAGGAAACCTAGGTACAAGTCCTGGCTCTGCCACTTATGGTTATGAGACCCTAAGCAAGTGGCTCAACCTCTTGAAGCAAGAGAAACATGAGTAGGTGAGCAGGGTCCTGCTGTAGGCAAAGTGTGCCAACAGGAGAGAGAGACTGCTTTCTGCTTCCCATTCAGGGTTCCGGCCTGAGCCGTGGATCCAGAGGGGGCGTTCCCTAGTTTGTCTTCCTGGGGTGTGAAAGTAGGTGGCTACCGTTTCTTTTTCATAAAAGGGATCGGGGCTGGGGATGTGGCTCAAGCAGTAGCGCCTGGCATGCGTGTGGCCCGGGTTGGATCCTCAGCACCACATACAAACAAAGATGTTGTGTCTGCTGAAAACTAAAAAATAAATATTAAAAAATTCTCTCTCTCTCTCTCTCTCTCTTTAAAAAAAAAAAAAAAAAAAAAGGACCTCTGTTCACCAGGCCAAGTAAGTCCCTGCATTTTGCTAATTTTGCAGAAGTGCCCTGACTTGAGCCTCAGTTCCCCTTCCGGAAGATGAAGAAAATGGTATCAGAGGAGGAGCACCTGGAAGGGAGGAGCACGAGAGCGTGGCTGAGGAGGCCCTCAGCAAACAGAGGCTGCGATCAGCCAGCTGCTCCTTCCAGGAGACACTGACAACCAGCTGGGCAAGGGAACAAGTTATCTCCCTCATCCCCAGATTTATAGAATCTTTTGAGGGACAACATAAACCCCTGTGGCAAAGCAATGAAGCCAGGGGTAAGAAATTCCCCAGGAAGGATGAAACACCCAATCCAGGGTGGAATTAGGGATACTGGAGGAGGATGTCAGACCCAGCATTACCCGAGCTGCCTAAAGCTCAGGTGAGCCCACACAGTGCATTTCTCCACTCGGGACCTCAGATTCTCCAGCCAGATTAAGCCAGGGAGATGGGATCTGTGCTCAGACCAAACAGGGTGCTCAGGACACTGTCAGCTCCAGAACCTTCCAAGGGTGGGAGCTGGGGGCTGAGTGTGTGGGAGACTGAGCACACCACTGGTGGAGGTGTCTGGGTGGCCCTGCCTCTTAGAATGGCAGGACTCAGAGGCTGCATTGTACAGATGGGGAAACCAAGGCTAAGGGAGATGCAGGGGCTTATTCAGGGACACACAGCACCCAGACTCCAGGGCCCAGACAAGGGCCCCAGAGGTCATGGCAAGAGTCAGAACCTAGGGTAGGCTGCAGATGCCAAAGTGACATCACAGAGGTGGAAGGGGTCTCAAGAAATGGCACTGAGGGGCATAGGGGCTGTGGGGTCCCCCCACTCTCTTGCTCTCTGGATGTGTCTTTCCAGAGTCATTGATATATCCCAATTGGCATGATATATCCCAATTTAGTTTTTTCTAGGGCCAGTGGCAAGACCAGCCTAACAATCTGTTTCTGGGCCTTTATGCAACACCCAGGCATACACGTGACTACACACTTGGGCACACTTCTTGTGCACACAGTCACAAACATGCACATATGTGTACGAGTGCATACACACATATGTACAGGATACGCCAGTTGCCGTTTCAACATGCACCTCTCAAGCACCTTGTTCCTCCAGAGAAAATCAGTGAATTTCTAGGGGTTCTGCCACCCACTGCTGCAGAATCCACCCTCCCCCCCAGAACCATCCTGGCTGCTGAGCCTTTGGGAGGCACACTTCAGCTCCTGGGCACAATGAACACCAGGAATAGACTGTCCAAGGTGTGAACCCCAGCCAGGTTATTCCCAACTAGCCTTAACCCAACAGGCAAGGTGACTCTGCCTCTGCAGATTTTCTCTACCAAAAAGCATATGTGGGGTCGCTAGAGCCAGGCCTCACCAGCACTGGCCAAAATGCTAAGGCCTAAGTCCAAAATTTTGCTCCCTAGGACGGGCAGAGTCTGCTTTTGGGCCAGATCAAGAAAACAGGAAGGACCACCAGGGGGCGCCCCAGCCAAGCCCATGCTCATTTCTCTTGGCAAAGGCCAGCAGCGACTGTGGGATGTTGCAGACTACCTGCTTCATCTGATGCTATTTGTGTGCATGGTGCCTTAGTCCCCGGAACCTTGATTCAGGGTTCCGTTTTGAGGTGCTTTGCTCCTCCCTGCTCACTGAAGATACCCATCCTATGGGTCCCTGCCTGCTCCAGCCCAGCCAAGGTCAGAAGCTGAGAAGGTCCAGGACAGGAGCCGGACTGGCAGGACTGAGGAGGGGCCCGCCTCCCTCCCTCCCTTCCTTCCCATACTGGAGTGGAGACACCCTCTCTTTCCTTGAGGAAGCAAAGGAGCTTTGATGGAGTTCCTCCTGGGAGCAAGATGAGGACGGGGAGCAGGGGACGGAGGACTGAGTACAGAGTGGAGTTGTAAGCGGAATGCTCAAGTTGAAGCATCAAGTCTGAGTGCAGAACAGAAACTCGAGCTCAGTCTCATTCACAGCACATGCAGAGTGAGCGAATGAATGAGCGCCTGTGACAGGGACCCCCAAAGTTAGCCATTGGCACCCCCTGAACCACGATCCAGGYAGGACATGCAGAATGAGCCCAACTGACTCACGTGTAGGACTCAAAATCTCCATTGCTTATGGCTTCAATCAGCTGCTCTGTCACTTTTATAATTTCCTGTTTCCGCACTGTAAGGCAGGAAGGGACACAGAAATAATAATGATGATGATAGTAATGAAACACCAGCTACAGTTTCCTGAGTCCCCGTGTGCCAGGGAGACCCTGTGCTGGGACCTGAGGCCTCATACAGATCATCTCATTTATCCTTGCTTGTCCCTGCAGGGTAGATAGCATTCTCCCCATTTCAAAGAAGTAGAAACCGAGGCCCAGAAGGGTGAAGAAAGGTGAACGTTCTCTCAACTACATAGGGCAGAGGCGTCTCAGCTGGAAGCCTTTGCCACCAAGAATCACGGTGGACATTCCATAGACCCGATTTGAACCCAGGTCTTGACTCCAAAATATGCTTCCCTTCTACCTTGGCCATGCAAATCATGGCCAGATCTGAAGCCCACCAAGGACAGCCTCGAGGTTCACCCATCCTTGTGACTGAGTGAGATTTTGGCTCAATCCCCCAGGATTCAGGAATTGAGCTGTGGAGATCTTTCTAGCATTCATGGATCCCAGTCGCTCTCTCCCCTCTTTGCCACTGAAACACCACGAGCAGCTGACCTTTCTAGTGGAGAGTCAGATGTCAGTTTTCTTATCAGATGTGTGATGTTCTGAGCCTCAGTTTCCCATTCTGTAAAATGGAGGACATTATCACCCTTCATTCATTCAGAGCCAAACACATAATGGAAACCAGCTGGGCTTTGGTCCCAGGCAGATCTTAATTGAACTCCAGCCCAGGTCCTTACAAACTTGTGCAGCTGTGGGCCACAAGATGAACAGGCAGCACTTGTTCAAAAGCCTGACACATAGTAGGTGCATGTTGTCAGCACTGCCATTTTCTGCAAGACCCTGTCCCCCCCAGGCCAAGGGGCTGCCTCCTCTGCTCCTCATAAACACCCTGGGTGGCAGGCAAGGCTGGCATGTCCCCATGTCACATATGAGGTGACAAGCCTCATTGATGAAGGAGTTTGAAGCCAGGCATCCTGGCTCCCAGCACAGGCTGGCAAAAGCCTCCCTCAGAATCCCAGAGACAGGCCCCGCCTCCCTCCTCCCCAGGCTTGGCCTGGCCACTTGTTGGCCACTGGAGCAGTCCCAGGTGAGGTAGGTGAGCACATTGCCTGGAGAGCAGGCTCAGGCCTGGCCTCAGCATGCTTAGTCTGGAAGCTGGCAGGAAGACCAAGCCTGGCAGAGGCCCTGGCCTGCCCCTTCTCCCCAGCTGTCCATGCCCAGAGCTCACCTGAGGCCTAGGGGCATATAGAACCACCGTTCCTCCAGGCTGGGGAAACTGAGGCTGTGAGGGACTATGACTCGCCCAAGACATGGAACACAGCAGGTGCCAAGCCTGACTTGCAGTCCCAGGTGCCCCAGCCTACTCACTATCCCGACGCTCCACTTCACTATTGCTTGGCCCACGTGCTTTCCTGTCTCTCAATTCAATATGAGCTCGCGGGGGCTGGGCTGTGGCTTCCCTGGAGCCTAGAATAGGCCTCGCCCCCTCAGCCCCTTAATATTGAATGAACGAACGAACACACCCACCCAGCCTTGAGCCACGCGCTTAACCTACAGAGTCTCAGAGCCTCACAGCAAAGCTTCCCTCCCATATCACAGTGGTGCAAACCAAAGGTGAGAGAAGCTAAATGGCTTCCTTCGGTAGAGCTGGGACCCCAACAAGAGTTGGCAGCTTCAAAGCACAGCATCTCCCCCACACCTGAGCCCAGAGCTCCCCTGGGCCTGTGGTGGGTGCTAGACAGATAGAGCGATTATGGTTTAATGCCCACCACACAAACAAATAATTATTTTGCTCCTGGCTCCAGTTAGCATCAACTGGCTGGAAATGGGCCCATCTTGAGACCATGTGCATGACCTGGTCATATGGGTTCTCCCCATTGCTTTGGGACCGTGCTTGGGTTGGGCAGAGGCAGCACTTGGTGCAGAGCGAATGAATGAACCAGTGGATGGCTCCAAAACAGAGTCTGCAGCTACCTTTGCCTGGTTCCCTGGAATACCACAAGTCTCCTGATGGCCTGCGTCCCTTAGTGCTCCAGACCCTGGCCTCCTGGTCAGCTCGGCCTACCTTCATGAAAGCAGGAGATGAAGATGGGAAGAAGCCAGCCCTGCCGGGAAGCACCTCAGTTCAGCCACTCCCACACGGAGCCAGAGGTGACAACACAGAGCAGACCAACGGGTTCCTAATGGAACATGGGACCCATGCCACCACACTTGCCTTCTCCCCATGAACTTGGAGACCCCTCCAGCTTGTCATCCCGTGAGCCTCCACGTATCGTCCTACCTCCTGTGGGCTGCTTGTCACTGCCATCGCAGGGAGTCCAGCAAAGTGGTCCAGGGCATGGATTCTGGAGCCAGACTCTGCCTAGGGTTCTCTTCTGGTTCTGCCATTTAATAGCAGCGTGGCCTTCAGCAAGGGCTGCCCTGTGCCTCAGTTTCCTCACATGCATAATGGCGATACTAATGGTACCTACCTTAAAGAGTTGTCTGGAGGACTGAGTTAAGAGATATCTAACACAGAGATAGCTAACCCTAAGAGCCAGCTGCTGTTCCAAGACCCTAACCTCAAGCCACTCATGTATACAAGGATGCATTGGGTCGAGCATCTCAGACAGCAAATGGCACCCCATCACAGACAGCTGTGATTCTTGTCATGTGGGAATCTCAGAAGCAGAGCCTTGCGTCTCTACCCAGGGCAGGGAGGCTTCCCAGCGGCCTGACAGGACCGCTCAGTCTTGGTTCCTCTTTGTGGCTTATGACTTGCAATGTGTACACTCCTTCTTCTTCCACATTGACACCAGTGTCCCTGGAAGCCCCTAGGTAGAGTTCTGGTCTTCTTTCTTCCTTCTGGAGTGAGCACCTTCCCACCCAGAGCCTGTCTGAGTCTCCTGCCACCCAGTTTTCTCTTCTTTGGATACACAGCCTTCAGAATATGGTCTCCAAGTCCTCCCTCAAGCTGGCCAAGCACTTCTCAAGGGTCCTTKCGCTGTCTGGATGGTTCTCTGAGGGTGAGCACACAGTCTCAGGTGTGGCCCAGATAATGCAGGATATCAGCTCTYTATCCGCTCCTGAGTTCTGGACCCTTTACCTCCATGAGCGCAGCCTGTGACAGTGCTCGAGGCTGTGTCTCCTGCCACTTGGCACACCATTTTGCCAACAGTCAAAGCCCAGTGGGTAAGAGCTTCCCCAACTTTCTTCTCTAGGACTGAAGATCTAGAGTCTTTGTGCTTCTTCCACAGGAAATCCACTCTTGTCTTGAGCTTTCTGTGCCCGCAGAAACCCCATTGCTGTGCAAGGAATTCATCCAGCAGATGCTTGGTAGTGACATCTGGCATTTCTCCTCTGCCAGGTACTCACCCAGACKATCCAATCTGGGAGTGCTTCCCTACAGATGGGAAGGCCAAGGCCCCAGAGAAGGTAAGGTGCTCTCTTAAGATCACACAGGATTGCTGAGGCTGTGTGATGGGACCAGCATTCCTAACTGGTAGTTCCCAGAACATCCCTGCCCAGTTCTTCAGATGGGAGAGAAAATCAATTTTGCATGGAGCTGATCAGGAGGAGGTAGGGAAATGGGGAGGAAGGCTGAGAGAACCTCKTGCAGTTCAGAAGGCGAGAGACCTGTGCATGAAGCCAGAGGGCTCTGAAATATTCATGTCCCTTCCTTTCCTCGGGGGAACTTGCTCCCTGGAGGATGACATTTCTAATTAACTTTAGTGTTAGTTCGGAGTCCACCCCACCAGCTGCTATTCTCACTTAGTAAGAGGGCTTAACAAGTTAACACCAGAAAAGAGTTCTCTGGGAACTTTCTCTGAGCCTGGGGAGGCTGGGGGAGGCAGGAGGCCTCTTCCCCCTCCCACATGAGGAGCAGGTCCTGGCTGGGCCAGAAGCTCTTCCAACAGACATGGCCTCCCCGGCTCTTCTACATATGGGGAAACTGAGGCAGGAGACAGGGTCCCCGTTCTGCAGTAAATGATACATGCATGCCCTTCCTCCTCTCTAGGGTTCACACTCCTGAGAAGAGAAGCGGAGATGAACTAAAATTCCAAAGTGTCCTCTCCTGATCCCTGTAAGAGGAGGATGATAGCAAACGTGGGGCCTCAGGAATGTCACCGGAAGATGTTATGTCAGGTAGAAAACGTCTCTGATGGTCCCATTTTACACAATTATGCATATGCAGTTTGCATTCTATTCTAAATACTTCTCTGTTTAATGTATAGTTTCTTAATATAATCTTTGATTAAGATTAATAATCTAAGAAAATGTGACTTCCTGTCAATCATGAACTCAGTTTGGAAAAAAAAAAGAAATAAATTAAGATTGTTTTTAAAAAAACACTTACCACATACTAAATGTTGTGAATATACTTTTATTTTTATTTATTATTACTAATTTTCTTACAGTACTAAGGATTGAACCCAGGGGCACGCTACTGCTGAGTTTTACATGCCCAGCCCTTTTTATTTTTTATTTTGAGGTAGGGTCTCTCTAAGTTGCTATGGGTGGCCTTGAACTTGCAATCCTCTTGCCTCAGCCTCCGGAGTCGCTGAGATCACAGGAGTGCATTACCACACCTGGCTGGTAGATGTATTTTATATGCAGTTTCTCGTTTCATCTGCATAGTGATTTCTGCGGTTGGTACTATTATCATCACCTCTTTGGTATTAAGGAAACTGGGTCTCAGAGTGGTTGAATATGTTATYCAAAGTCATCCAGCAAATGGATTCTAGCAGGGAAGTACAGAGCCAGGCCACCTCCACCATCCCTGTCTGCCCTGAGGCCAGGATTATAAGGCTACATGCGGTTGCCTCAGAACCCCAGAGCCTCTCTCTCCCCATTGGGAAAGAGAGAATATCTTAGAAGCCCCATGATTTGGTCTACTACAGACTTACACAATCAGAATCCACAGGGGGAGAGTCACAGGGGATGTGGTTAGAAGTTTGTACCTGGGGGGACCCCGCACACTGACTTGACCCTGGTGGGCAATCCTTCAAGAGAAGGTAAAGCTGTTCCTGGTGCTGCCATAGAAGACGATTTGCTAGCACCAGGCTGTGATCCCCCAAGTTAAAAATGACTCGAAAGAGACACCCACAGGCTGGGCCCATCTTCTAGGCTCCTGGCAGAAGTCAGAAACCGTCATGGTGAGTGGCGTGTCAAAGCTGCCCAAAAGCCTGAATCACATTTGTGCAAAAAGCATGCCATGATAAAATCCTCTTTCCCCGACACGGTCTTCTTTTCAAAGCAAAATATCAAAACTCCTGGAAAATGTCTCAACAGATACAGCTGAGTTCCCTCTCTATGGATGGCCTTTCTGTGTATTCTCATAGACTCCCCAGGTGTCTCTGGCACCTGGAATAGACAAACCTCTGAACCCGACGGGCTCTCTGTCATGGGAAATGAGGAGGGCTAGGTACCCAGTGCAGGTAGAGCAGCAGGACATTGTTAACACATCAGGGACTTGGTGTCCCCTGGGCAGAAACCAGCTCAGGGTTTCTGTTCCTTCCTCCAGCCTCCCAGAATGCTTGCTACCTACCCTGTGACCAGACCTGGTTCAACTCCCAATCCTGCTGGTCAATTGGTTTGGGGGCCAGTTTACCCAGGCTCTGTCCTTTCCTCAGCTGGAGAACAGAGTCCACAGGGAACTACCTTGTAGGGTTGTTGTGAAGCCCCAGCATGTTAGACCAGAAAAAGTCCCAGGAGCAGGCACAGGACTTAGCAAGTATTCATAAATCACAGCCGTGCATGCTATTCTTGCCATTTCCTCCTTTACCACCTGACTGCAGGTAATCCGAGCCCCCCTTACTCATTTGAGAATTTTTATAGGCTGTTAGCCTTTAGCTACCATAACCTTTGCATTTATGGTTGGTCTTGGGCACAGTTTTTCATGCTCCAGCAGACTGAATATTCTAGATTTTTCCTCCTCCTTTCTTTACTATTATTACTTCGTGCTTTAAATATCAACTCACTTTAAAAAAGAAACTCTCAGAAACACTTACTTCAGAAGCAAAATTTATACCACTAGTACACATTCATGACTTGAATTTGTGATTAATTTTTTTCTCTAATATGTATTAAAGTAAAATCTATGAACCTAAAATAAGAAAAGACCATCCGTGCCCTTCTGGTAACCTGGTACCCCACACGGGGACGTCGTGCCCCACGGTGTGTCAGTTGTCAGGAGCCGGGGCAAAGCTCCACCCAGGCACAGGAAACAAGCTGGCATGGGCCCTTCTGGGGTGAAGCGGTCTGCCCAGAAAGCACCAGGGAGTCTGGGGGGCCAGATGCCAGAGGCAAGACCGTCCCCTACCTTTGGTGTCTTCATCTTCAATGGTGGTGTTGGTGCTCTCAGAAGACTCCTGCCAAAGAGAAGGAGGGAGGTGGTGAGGCCTGTCTGGTGAGCGGCACAGGTGTGGCCAGCCGGGGGCTGCCCCAGCTGCCTGCCAATGTGGACCGCGTCTGAAGTCCCAAACGGCTCCGCCATCCAGATGCTGCCTGAAACCCTGCCAGACTTCCCGGCCTAAGGAGGGAGGGCCCCACTCTGCAGGTGGCTGGGTAGGGCCCGGATGAAGGGGTACTGCAAGGAGATCCCTGGCCTGTCTGGAAGGGCTGGAGGGGGATTCCTGGGTCCTGTCTGCTCAAGGGGGCAAAGAGGGGGTTGCAGAGGAGCAGAGAGACACCATGGCGGCCACAGAATGGGGAAGGAATACACACACTGGCAGGAGAGGAAGACAGATAGAGGGAGGCCCAGTGTGAGAGAGGGTGGGCTTTTCAGAGGGGAGAAAAACCACACAACTGAGTGAGACAGCCATGGATCCAGGAAAAGAGGGACGTGGGCCACCTGCAGCCCTAGACAGAGGCAGGGCTGGTGGCTCCTCTGCCAGAGCAGACTTACAAGCTCCAGGGGACCTCCATGGCACCTACTACTTTGGCCAAACACAGGTGGAGCACAGCCCCACCCTGGCCGCAACTGGCACAGACCAAGCCCTGAGATGAGTTCTAGAGCAGAGGCGTGGGCAGAAGCCAGAAGCCAAGGGCTGGACATGGGGTTGTGCTCAAATCCACCTTCAAATCCGAGAAGGTCTCAGGTCTGCTGTCAGCCTGCTGGCCTGGGCTGTGGAGTTGGAGGTGTCAACAGAAACACGCAAACAATACACACACACACACCACACACACACACACACACACACAACACACATTGTCACACAAGGCCCACATACCAAACACGCCCTGAGCACCCTCTCCCCGCCCCGGGTTCCCGTGCAGCCTGCAGGAGGGAGGCAGGAGCAAGGGAGGAAGGGTCGAGGCCCAGCATTTACCGGCGTGGAGGAGACGGCAGACACTCACCATTAACTGAACGCTGGAACTGGACTTTCTTTTCTGGAAAAACAAGGAGAAGAGATGGGACAGGAAAAGACACAGCGTGAAAACGGCACGGAGCAGAGAAACGACAAGGGATGTTTGGAAGGAGGATGGGCCTCAGGGTCATCCTCTGTGGTCCTCTGCTGGCCTGGCATTGGGAAAAGCAATCAGGGCCACCAGCACAGCTGGCCTAGCAGGGCCAGCCCTCTCAGGCTGAAATCCTGGGTCCTCATGTACAGCTACCTGGGTCCACCAAATTAACAACCAAGCTCAAGGCCAAGCCTCCCTTGGACCAGGGCTGCCTACTATACCTCACTCTGATGGAGAGAGCTAATCCTGACTTTGGCTGCCAATTGCCCAAGGCCTTCTGAGCCCAGTGCTCTTGAAGAACAAAAGGGAGATGAGGCTGAGTGCCTTCCCCAAGGCTCCCACTGTCTCTGCTAAGAGAACCCCACTCCCAGCTGAGTTTCATTATCACTCAGGAAATGTGCAGTGTGGGGATCAAACCCAGGACCTTGCACATGCTAGACAAGCACTCTACCACTGAGCTGCCTCYCAACCCCAGGAAACTCATCAAAAATGTACAGAATGAGGTCCCCTTTGAGGAGTTTGATAACTAGATCTGGGGTGGGAACTGGACATCTCCGTTTCCAGAAATATCCCCAGGGGACATGAGAGATATCAGGACCAGGCAAGGGGGCCAGTCCCCTAAACGGCCTTGGGCACTTACAGCTTCCCAGCTACTATCCCATTCGGCTCCTTTACGTTGATGGAGAAACTGAGACACAGCCAGAGTGAGGCTGAGTCTAGAGCTGGAGTCCTGTGACCTTGCCAGTTGGCCTGTCCTTGCACTTGGTAGCATCCCCTGTACTGGCTGCGGTGCCAAGGGAAGCGGGTGTACAGATACGGATCCCCTTCTCCTTCCTTTGGCTCTCAGAGCCTGCAGTCTTGGGCTCACACTTATAGAAAGTGCAGGTCCAGACTGGCATTTGTATTGGCAGAGGAGACACTAAGACCCAGGAAGGGGTAGTGGCCTGATCAGGTTCTTTCAGCAAGCCACTGGCACATCTGAGACCTGAGCGCAGGGCTCTGTCCTTTGCCCGGGGTTCTAGGTCTCCACAGCCTGACGCCCCTTCAAAGGCTCATCCTGTCCTAGATGTTCTTGCACCTGAAAGGCCAGGAGGCCCCTCATCCTGCTGCCCTGTGAGAAACTTGAGGTGCCACCACCGTCAGTTTTCACCATGGAGATGAGGCTTCTGATATTTTTTGAAGGTCTCAGGTCTAATCTTGGGCTTTCTAATTTCATAATCCAGCAACCTTCTGAGTGCCAGAATCTATCCTGTGCCCTCCAACCAGGGCCTCCACAGATGTAGCAGGGATGGCTCACCAGGCATCTCTGTGATCCTGTCCTTGGACTGCATCTTCCCCAGCTGGGCGGGACAGTGTGGCTTATAGCCAACCACCTGCATCAGCCGCTCTTCTGCCCTGCTCGCCTCGCCTCTCCTCTCCTGTCCTCTCCTCTCTTTTTCTCCTAGTGTTGGCCTCCTGCCCTGGCTGGAGCCAAGCCAGGCTCAGTGTGTGGGGAAGGGGACAGGCCCACATGGCTCAGCTGTCAGCAGAAACCTGAGGAGCCTCGAAGGAGCCAGGAGGTTTCAGGCGGGACACGAGTAGGTAACACAGAGCAAAGACTGCATCAGATTCGGACGCACAGTGACAGGATGGGACATGGGGAGAGAGGTCACGACGGCACGGATGGGACACCAACAGGGGCAGTGAGTGGGGTGAGGGGTAGGAGCAGTGGGCCCCTCCTGGTAGAAGCTGAGGCCGATGGGTGTCAGGGCAGGCACTGCTTCTTGGAGAAAGACTCAATTTCCCTAAATCACCAAATAACGATGCCACCAACAACCCATATCGGCCGGCGCTTTAGAGTGTGATTGGAAAGGGCTTCCACTGAACGCAGAGTCACCTGTCTTAGAACCACGCGTAGAGGGAGGTTCTAAGCTCAGCAAGGGGTTGGAAACCAAATGTGATTGACATCAGCCTTGAAAAGCCCTGAAAGACCCGCAAAGTGCAGTCATCTCTGAGCCCCAGCGGAGGTGGCCTCCCTCCAGCGCTGGAACCAATCACTGTTTTTCCTGTGAAGCCCCAGATGAAATGGCAGCAGGTCTCTAAGGACCGGGCTTCAGGAAGAGCATGGATGTCCCMCTTTGGCTGGACACGTGAGGGTCATGGTGTGTCTCCACCAGGCCCCTCCAGGGTGACTTTCTCACCAACCCTTGCAAACGACCACAATGCTCCCCTTGTACAGATGACAGACCCAGGACCACGATCCTCAGAGGGAGGGAGCAGTGAGGCCCAGACTCACCGTGGCTTCTTGGCTTGAGGAAAACATAACTAGACTCTTTCCCCCAACCCCACTACCCTCCCTTCTCTRGGAGCGACTTGGCAGGCCTCCTGAGTTACTCGCATCTCCCTCCTCTATCCAAGCTCCCAGATGGAGCTACATAAAGAGATGGTTTGTCCATGGATGGCCTTTGAGTTTCACCCACACCCGGGCCACCCTGAGGAGGAAGCAGTGGCRCTGTTCAGCTGAGCCCACTGGAAAGCTCTGTGACGACCAGCAAACCTCTCCTGCCCACTGCCCTCTGCCAGCCTTGGCCTCCTGGCCTTGCTAGAGAGAAGCAGAACTTAGAGCTTCTTTCYTGGGCCTCCATCCAGCCCAAGGGAGGCCCCTTCTGATCCCATGCCCAGGGTTCCTCATCAGCCTCTGTCAGGACCACATTCAAGAGCAGCAGACCCAGCAGCCTTTCTCTTTCTGCAGCCTCCTCTTCCATTGACCTGGGCCACAGCACAACAGCGTTTGTGGCCTCTGTAGCCATATACCGAAAACTGCRGCCAGGAAGATGGCCTTCCCCAGGGACCAATACCCCCAGCTCAGCATCTACCCACTGGGCAGAGAAACCCCTCCAGCTGCTCCCAGCCTGGCAGATCCATACTGCACAAAATCTCCAAAGGCAGGCTAGCCTAGACCTAACACCAGAGGCCACACAGTGTTTTGGACAGGTGTGCATTAACTTGATAAACTGCATTGGCTTTTAACGTGTGGTTTCCAAATATTTTCTTGAACAAACTTTGCTTTCAAGGGAAATTTCACACAAAAGTCTAACATATAAAATAGAAAAAAGAATCCTGACCAGCATCTCATGGGCATGTGCTGTATCCCACACTAGCACAGTGCTAAGCTCTCAATGCACATTATCCCAGCTAATCCTCGTGAGTTCCCTAGGAGGTGGGAATCCTTTCAGCCTCATCACATGAAAGAGGAAACTCAGGCTCAGGAAGTTTAAATAAGCAGCCAAGGTCTAGCTGCTGGTGAACCCACCCTGATCTCTTAAGCACCCTGGCGACTGTGACTAGAAGCTGTCCTGGTGGAAGGGAGTGTGGGGATCTTGTGAATGGGGCTTCCCCCTTCCGAATGCCAGCCAGTCCATCTGCTGCCAGAAGGGTCTCCCCAGAACCTGTGGGCTCCAAAGTGTTCAATGTGAAAACCACTGACTTTGACTAATAACCAACTCGCTAGGTACAGTCAAGCATCGCAGGGACACATTCTGAGAAATGCATCCTGAGGTGATTTTGTCATTATGTGAACATCAGTGGTTTAGGTGGCATAGCTACTATGCACCTAGGTTACACAGCAGGGCCTAGGGCTCATGGGCTGCAAACCTGTGCAGCGTGGTACTGCACTCAGRGCTGTAGGCAGTTAGAGCACAGTGATGTTTATGTATCTAAACATAGAAAGGGACAGTGAAAATACTAGGCATAGGAATTCCTCAGCTCCATTGTAATCATCTGGGACCATTGTTGTATATGCCATCTGCCGTTGACTGAAATGTCATTATGTGGCACAGGACTGTGTCCCTCAAGCACCCAGGAAGAGAAGGGAAAAGGATGAGATGGGTTTTGTTTCTTTCTTGTCTGTTTTTGGAACCGAAATCTTGGAAATGACCACCAAATCCATACCCCAGCCACCGTCTCTAGGGGTAACTCAAGTGGGAGGAGGCAAGGGGCAGAGAGGAGACTCGATCCTGGCCTTGGACATCTAGCCAGACCCACCCCCCATGCAATCTCGGCAGACCAAAGCCAGTGGGTGGCCAGAGACCATATGAAGCCATGAAGCCACCAGCACACCTGGGTGACAGTGTTCTTAGAGCATCTCACCTTCTAGTGTCCTGGGCCCCTAGCCAGGTGGGGCACTGAGCCCAGAAGGAAGCAAGATCTCAAGAAAGGAGAACCCACAAGGTGATAGGGTGGCAGGGGAGGAGAGAGCTGAGAGAGTAAAGGGGACAGGCCCCAGAAAGCAAAGGGAAAAAAGAGAAGAGATGGGAAGGAGGGGCCAGCAGGATGTAGAGGGAAATAGCTCGGGCATCGGGGTGGGGACAGGGCACAGGCCTGGTGGGCAAAGGAGGAGATTCTTGGCACAGGAGCAGCAGGCCTTGGCAGGGAAGGGGCACCTCTGGATCCCACAAGCTAGAGGAATGGCTGCGTTCCCCACGGGTTTTCTGGGTTGGACTAGCAGGTGCAACAGGTAGGGGCCAGCCCAGTCCACCCACACTGGGGCAGGAGAAGGAGGTCATCCTTCATACCGTTTCTGTCCCTCCCTCCACCCCCTTGCTCACAATTCTTCAGCCCTGGAGAACCCCCAGAAACCTGATCTTTCCCTTTCCTGTGCTCATTCCAACCCCAGGCTACCTCTCTCTCCCTCCCTCCGCCATCTYCCCCTCCCCCAGCTGCCCTCCCCACAAGCACAGTGAAAGGATGATGCCGCAGCCCAGCTCACTGGGTCTGGGGACAGCCTGGCCACAGACACAATCTGTGTCTGCCCAGAGCACATCGGCAATGCCCTGGTCTTGCCCCAGGCCTCAAAACCCATCCCTGTAGGCAGAAACGGCCAGAGACAGGCCCTGCCAGGCCCCCGGGGGCTCACCTTCACACCATCGTTCTTCTTGTTCCCTCCACTCTTCCCTCCTGTGGAGGAGAAAAAGTAGAGGGTTAGCAACACCAAGCAGGGCACCAGGGCCCAGAGGGTGAGGAAGAGCAGCATCCACAAGCAGCCGGAGAGCAGCCAAGGGGGCGACCGTGCTGGAACGGAGCCGGCCCAGCAACCGGGAAGAGACTTCCTCCTCCTCCTCCTCCTCCTCCTCCTCCTCCTCCTCCTCCTCCTCCTCCTCCTCCTCCTCCTCCTCCTCCTCCTCCTCCTCCTCCTCCTCCTCCTCCTCCTCCTCCTCTTCCTCCTCCTCCTTCTCCTCCTTCTCCCTCTTCAGCAGCCCAGGCGCTGCCAGGGGCCCACTGAGTGGGCCTGGGCTCCTCTGTTCTCAACAATCTCAAGTGTAACCCTCTGGCTTCATGGGTCCAGGGAGGCGTCCAACGTGCTCTGGGACTGTGGGGTGGCTGTTTCAGCCTGGGGATTCCCTCTGGATCCCGGTCACCACTGTGCTGTTGGTGGCCAACCAGGAGGCCTGCTGCCTGGCCTGGGGGCTGGACGCTCCCCTCCCTCCCCRCCGCCCTCTCTAATTTTAGCCCCATGCGGCTGCAGAGGTCATGTGTCAGCCTGCCTACTCACTCAGGACAGCTGCAGGCTGCGTTTTGCCAGTGACAAGAAGCAGATGCCCCCCACCGGGGCCCACCCCTGCCAGAGCAGCCCTTCCCTGGTTTTCCCTTCAGGCAGCATAGGCCTCCCCAGYATCAGAGTCTGGGTCCCCACACAGAGGCTGGCCACTGGTGGCAGGTGGTAGCAGAGGAATGGTACTGGGCTTTTCCCCTCCCCCTCTTTCACTTCCTCACTGGAGCCCTGGGAGTGGGCATCAGCCAGGAAATGGCATAAACATCCAGCCCTGCCCCACCTGGCATCCGGCTGCTTCGGACCTTAAGCAAGTGCCCTAAATGAGACCGTGATCTGTGAAGTACTGCRCTCAGCCTGCGTGTAGCTGGTGCTCCATAAACGGCAGCCGTCATAAACCCTTCTCCAGGCAGTCTCAGGAATGTGAGCTGGGCAGGGGTGGTGGTAGTACAGGGCCTCCATGCCCCAGGGGCTCTAAGGCACAAGGCTCATGGCTGGCCCAGCCTTCCAGTCCCCCCACATTGCCACTTACGGTCCCTGCAAGCTGTCATCCAGTCACCCACTTGCAGATCAAGGGATAACGGGGCACCTCTGGGTGTCTGAGAGGAATGGTGGCCTGTCATCCGTAGACTTTTGTGAGTTGGACCAGGAGGATCTAACAAGCATGGGAGGGTGCTTGTCCCACATGCATCAAGGAGGGTGACCCCTTGATGCTCCAGCCCACTGTGACAGACAAGGCCAGACTGATTTTCAAGAGATTTCAGAAATTTGAGTTTTTCTATGAAATCAACTTACTTTTGACCTGCTCCATTTCCAACCTGACTGATTCACCCCTCCTCAGTCAACCTGGTGGTCCCCTACTCCTAGGAAGTCACCATATGGATGCCAAACTTAGTAAGGACACCCAATGTACAGACCACACTACAACCCAGAACTCCAGGGCTGAAGAGATCCTCCTGCTTCAGCCTCCTGAGTAACTGGGACTACAGGTACATGCCACTGTGTCTGACCAGTCTCCTGACTTTTAAGAGCTAGAAACACATTCCAGAATAATTTCTTAAACATCCTTGGTTTCCTGAAGCACATCTAGATATTGGAACTAATCCACAAGGCCACCATTTTCTGGGCTCTGGAAGAAAGTTCTCCAGGGTGCTTCAGGTGTTAAAAAAAGACTCTGACTAGGTAGCTCATCTTTCAGTATAAGGAACTACAGGTTCCTTGTCTGGGGAAAGGGTAGGAAGGCAGCTCAGTGTGGGGGAAAGCCCAAGTCTGAGGTTCTGGAATGCTCCCAGCTCTGGGCCTTGCTCATCCCAGCTGGTCATGGGCAGGTGGACCCTCTGAGGGAAGCCAGGCCTGCACCCTGCTCAGAACTCACCCCTGGCTACAGTGTGGGCACGCATCCATGGCAGCTGTCTGTGCTGGCCCCAGCCCAGTCTGAGGGCCCCTCAGGTGAGCTTTGCCATATCTGCCATCTATATCTGCTCTGCTGCCCTGTCAGCGCCCAGGGCTCCCCAGAGACAGACCTCTGGCAGCACTGGCCTGGAGTTGGTCCACATACCAAGAGGAGCTATTTGCTAAGCCCTGACAATAATCCCTTCCCCTTCTCTCTTTGGGGCCACATGCTCAGGTAGTTGGGCACTCCCTGCCTTAACCAGCCCGGCTTTGGACAGGAGCCAGGGAAACTCTGGCCCTGGTCTCCCTGGTGACCCAGCCTGGTCAAGGGTACTTGCTCTGAGCTGCTCATACCTATGAGGCAGGCTCTGCCTCTCTCTAACCTTTGACCTGATGTCAGAGCTCACCCCTTAAACTCTGCTTCCTCATCAGAAAAAGGAGGATGGCAACAGCCCGCCCCCCCACTTCCCTGTCATGAAGGCTATCTGAGCAGAAGTGTGGGGACTGGATAGCACAGGGCTCCCGCAATAGCTGGGCAGTACTGTTGCGCCCTGGTCCTGGCTTCATCCCTCCTGGGCCGGAACCCTCCACATTCCAGGAGGTTTCCCTCTAAGGATCCCAGTGCACTGTGAGGCAGGAGAGCGAGATTCACATCTAACCAGGCCTGGAGTTGCTCACCTTTGACCTTTCTCCTTTCCTTTTGGGGTACAGGTTTGTGGCAGGTGAGCTAAATCCCAGTCCAGAAACATTCTGCAGCCCCCACTCTGAAGACACCCAAATATCCAACAAGACCATGCTCGCAGCAGACCAGTGCAGGACATACTAGTGACTCAGGCCCTACCACCTACCAGAGAAGTTCCTGGTGGCCAGCATTGTGGTCAGAATGGCTCCCTGCAACAGATAAGAGTGGGGACAGGGGAAGGAGGCCGGAGGTAAGGGGAGGAGGGGAGACAGAGAAATGGGACRGGTATAGGGAAGGACAAGCAGGTGGTCTCTTCAGGGACAGATCCAAAGCCTCGGCCCCTGTGCCCCCATCTGTCCCCCACCCCCACCCTGCAGCCCAGACCCCTTCCCCCACCCTCCCTGGAGAAGTCGGCTTTGRCTGGCACAGCTCTTGGGACAGGGCCATCCCAGGCGCAGATATTAATAGGACCCATGGCCTGGCCAAAGCTGATGGACTTGAGGACACCTACTGGCAGGGACTCCTAAAGGCCACTCCTAAAGTTTCCTGCCTGGGCAATGACAGGAGACCTTGCATCCCTCCTCTGGGCTGAGACTATCGTGCTCCAGGGCTAGTTCATTGCTTTGTGGCCCACGGCTCAGAAGCCCGGAGGATCTCCTTGTGGAGAAGCCCTCGCTATCGAAAAGGGCTGGGGGATCACCCCCTGCTCCTCCTGCTGTCTGATTCAAACCTGACTCAGACGCTTTCTGAATCTGAAAGTCTCTGACGTTAAGCATCCCCATTTCCATTTTGAGACTTCCTCTATGACACAGCTCACTGTGCAGTGAATAGGACCCGGTTCTCCTGGATCACGCTGGCCACAGTCATCCTCCCTCAGAGCTGCAGCCTCTCACCCCACAGTGGTCTCCTGCGCAGTCATCTCTTGTCCCCAAAGTTCTCTCCAGACACTCACAACCCCCTCTGGTCCTCCAGGAGGTCATGCCCACCCCTGCCAGCAAGGGCCTTTCGGTGTCCGGAGCACCTTCCCTTTCTGACTTGACACTGTGCTAATCCAATCCCTGCTTATCCTTAGGGTCTCAGCTGACTCCAGGAAGGCCTCCTGGGACCCTTTCCAGAACCTTCCAGACTTGGGAATGCCATTGACCCACTATGTCCTCCCACAGCCCCGGCACAGCACTCACCATGGCCCCGCAATGTCCTGGTCACTTGTCTGTCCTCTCCACCAGACCACGAGCTCAATCAGGGTGAGGATGGGGTCTAATTCACTGCTCACTCCCCAAATCCCAGCCTGCTGTCTAGCATGCAGTAGGTGTTCCATAAATGCTTGTGGAATCAATGAAGGAAAGAACTAGTGAGCCTGGGGGGTAGGGAAGGTAAGGACCTGTTACCTTCAGTTTCCTCCTGGCATTGAACTTCTTCAGGCAGTCCACGGTCTCCTGTCTGTGCATGCAGGAGGCCACAGTGGACCGGTGCTGGAGGAAGAGAAAGAGAGGTCTGTAGTGACACGTGCTGGAAGACAGCCTAGGTCCGCAGCAGGGCATCTCAACAAGGTGTGGTGGCTTCTTGGGAAGATAATTCTTTGTTCTAGGGATGGTGCAGAGTGCTTAGGATGTTGGCCTCAGACGGTCAAGGCCAGGGACACTCCTGGTCATGTGCYAACACAGGACATCCCTCAATTCCATATTGTCCCCGAGCATCACAGTAGGGTCAGTCTCTCTGATGAAGCCCCATCAGTCCCAGCCAGGAGCAGGGCCAAGATACCACAGGGGCCTGGACCTTGCAGTCTAGAGGGACTCTGGGGAGGGTCCCTGCTRTGGGAAGCTCACCGAGATCCAGGGGTGCTTGAGGGCCTCGGCAGCTGTGATGCGTTTGGATGGGTTGATGGTCAGCATCTTATTGATCAGATCCTTGGCTTCTGGGGTGACGGTGTCCCATTCTGGTGATGGGAACTGGAAGGGGCAGAGAGGCCAGGTTTGCCCAGCCTGCCCCAGGCCACCCCTGCGATCCCCCAGCCCCTGACTGGCAGGGGAGCAGGCAGGGGTGCTAATGCCATCCACTCGGCCCCCACAGCCAGGAGTCGGGACTCCTCGGGACCAGGGGAGGGTCGGAGCCTTGGGAACCAGGACCGATGAAAGCCTGGTCACAGGGAAAGGAGACCTCCCTCTGTCATCCTGAGGCTGTGCCCTCTCTAGAGAAGGGCAGACAGTGGTCATGGTCCAGACAGAAGAATCAGAAGACCTGGGTCCAGGTCCTGCCTCTGTCTCCCCCAGACCTGGGCCTGTCATGAGCCGTCTCTGGGGATGCCACGGTGTGACTATCACAGGACTCATGGCACAGGGCTTGATGGACTCCAGCCTTAGAGAAAAGCAGTATGGTTCAGTAGCTAGACGCATGGATGCGAGGGCCAGAGGCTTCCCTATCTGTAAAGTGAGGATGGTATTCGGGTCTATGTTGTAGCCTGGTGTGAAGATCTCATGTCTCCAAGTGCATAAAACAATCAGATGAGTGCTACGGACATGTGAGCTACTATGATTATTTGTACATGTAAGAAAAAGAGAGAAAAAAAAATTAGAAAATACAGCTCAGGGCTGCCCCTCCCTTCTGCCCTCTAGGGCCCCGCAGGACAGATCTCGTCACTTCGAGCCTCTACTCCTTAGGCACCTCTTGAGCTGCCTGGCCCTGCCCATCTTCAGGCTCCCCTGGGCTTCACCCCTTGCCCCAGCTCTAGAAAGTGGCCGGGAACCTAGGGGGACTGGAAAGGCGGGAGGAAGATGTCCTTCCTYGGATCTCTGAGCTTCACTAGAAGGGGACCAGAGGATGACAGGGGCAGGGTGGCTGGAGAGAGGAGCAACACTCACATCATAGGCACCGGCTTTGATCTGCTGGTACAGGCGGTGCTGGTCCTCATCCCAGAATGGGGGGTATCCAACCAGCAGGATGTACAGGATGACCCCTGGGGAGAAGACCAGGAGAACCTTCAGCCCCCTGCCCTGCGGGGAGGAGAGATGAAGGCAGGGTGATGGAAAGGAGTGAGGGGACCCAGGGCCTGGGTGGCCCAGGGGAGGAGCAGGCCTTTGGATGGACTCACCGCAGGCCCACAGGTCCACAGGCTTCCCGTATGGGTCCTTCCGCAGCACTTCTGGGGAGAGGTATCCAGGTGTCCCTGCAAACCCTGCTCCCCAGACACACAGACAGGCAGACAGACACACAGAGATTGGCATGTGAGTAATCTGGAGCCAGATCCTGCTGGGAGAGGGGATGAGAGTCATCTAGAGCTGGAACAAACAGCCTCTGACCCCCAGAGCTGGGGGTTACACCGTGCAACCCTGGTGGGCTCTGTAAGCCAGCAAAGTCCCTAGGCCAGGGAGATAGGCACCTAGCACACCGGCCACCACTCCCCATGGCAGAGTCTGCGGCAGACAGCAGTAATCAATCACAGAGCTCCTTCCCGCAGGGTCCTGATCAGGGTCATAAATTTCCCAGAACAGCCCTCCCAACCCCTCTACCAACCAACTATTGGTGGCCTTCAGCTCTTGCCACACCAGTTCTGCACGGAGAGCTAACATTCCTATCTCCCACTCCCCACTGCCTTGTCAGAGCTGGTCAAGAGGCCAGAGGCCTGTCCTTAACTCTAGCTTTGCCCCTAATTTCCTTATCTGGTTTCTTTACTTTAGAGCCTCAGCTTCCTCCTGTGACAAATGAAGGATTAGGGATTTCTATTTTAAATACCTCCCAGTGTTTGGAGGAAGATCAAGCAAAATGAAAGACAAACGAACTATTTTAGCAAGTAATCACAGAACAGTTACCAGTTACTGGGTGTGCATCCTGAACTTGGGCAGAGCACTTTATAAGCCTGGTCTTAGTTAATCCTCACACAGACCTTGAGGAACATAGTATGATTATCCCCATTATACAGTTGAGAAAACAAAGTCTCAGAGAGGTGAAATGACTCTGCTAAAGCCACACACTTCTAAGTAGCAGGGTCAGGACTTGAACCCAGAGCTCTGGTCCTTGACCACTGATCATTATTGTCCACTAAAAAGTATAACCAGATTTTGAATCATACCGAAATCCCAGAGAGTGCTGGGCCATCTGAGCTGAAGTCCTAMCTCCAGCCCTCTTAAGCTCTTGACCTTTTCCGAGTTTCCTAGCCAGTCTCCTCATCTGCAGCATCCAGGCTGAGGTKGCCCACAGAAGCCCCTGCTGACAGTGACCCTGTGGCTCACCTGAAGAAGCCATGTTATGGTTTTCGTGATGGCCCTGTTCCTGCACCTGGCCCCAGGGAGACAGGGTGGGCACCACYCACTGACTGGCTGGAGGCTGGGTGGGGTGGACTGTGCTGCATGGACCCTGGCTGGCCCCCAACACCCCTGCCACTCCCGCCCCACTCACCAAACCATGCCTGCTGCTCCCCCTCCACCTCTATGGCCAGGCCAAAGTCCGCCAGCTTCACGGCAGCGCCCTTGAGCTTGGAGGCCAGCAACAGGTTCTCCGGCTTCCCAGGACCAGGAAGAAAAGGGGGAGGAGAGGGCGAGAGACAGCAGGTTCAGAAGTGCACCTTGGGGACTGGGCTTGTAGGAAGAGCTGCCACACAGTCCAGGGGCCCGGCCCCCGGMCCCAGAGAGGGAGCTATTCCCTGGCAATTTCTCCATCTTCTACAGAAAAACCCTTCCTCCACCAGCCACCCCAAGTCTGGAGCTGGGTTGAGGGGAGTTTGGGCACAGGGTGGGGGTGCTAAGGCCACCACCACAACAAGAAAGAGGCAGCAGGGTTTATGGGTCCTGCTGTGTACCAGCCACTATGYTCCAAGTGCATCCTCTCACCCACCATCCCAACAACCCCTTGGGKCAGATGCCATTATCTCTGCTTTCCACAGTGACCTTACATCCTTTGAAACAGTCCTGCCACCTTCCACCTCAGGGCCTTTGCACTTCCTGTTTCCCCTGCCTGATTTGCTCTGCCTTCCAGCCTTGTAAGCCTATCCTCTTCCCTTTGTCCAGCTCACCTTCAAGATACTCCTTCAAGGAAACTCCCCCACCCATGATTACTCCATGGAAAGAAGGAGTCATCAGTGTCATCTGTGTTGTCTCTTGTTACCTACATATTTATCATATGTATAAAGTTAAGGAAACCGAGGCTCAGAGAGGTTAAGCAAGATCACACAGCTGGAAGGGGTGGAATCAGATTCAAGACAAAGATTGACTCCATCTTAATCACTATAGGCTGAGAGAYGATGGAGCTTGGCCCCAGGACCACAGCTGACCTGGGGGGAGGCCCCACATCTGTCCTCTGGGTCACTGAAGCTGCTGCCTTCCACTGGCTCGGACCCTCAGAATTTCTCCACTTSCTGCTGGTCCCCCTCCACCTTGGGRTTCAGGRCAAAGAGAGACTAAGATTCCCTCCATTCTTGGGTCATCCTGGCTTCAGGTCCCAGGATTGCCACTTCTATGCTGTGGAACTTCACCAGATAATTTCATTTCTCTGAGTTTAGTTATTTTCTTCAGGGAAATGGAGACACTGATGGGGTGGTGTCTGGTGGTGGTTCACGGGAAGCACCTTGCTAAGGYGAACTGTCAGCGCTTGAGCTTGGCTGCTTGGGGAGGAGCCAAGAGACTCTGGAGAAAATTGGCTCCCACTCTTCCTCTGACCCTTTCTGCAGCAGGGCTTCGAGGGGTCCCACCTCCAACCTTTCCCTGTCAAAACCAGCTTGGACCCACACAAATACAGCTCCCCCTGTCTGGCTCCTGAAGACTGCCTTTGTCCTCTAGGGACTGTACTTTCGATGTGCCCTGGGTCTCAGTGGCCGTCCTGCCCTGATTTGATGAATGTGCCTCTAATTAGTGCATCCAGGGTGGCCTAAATTTGGGCAGCCTCTCCTCCTTCCTTCCTCCACCCGGGCAGGGGCCGGAGCTATAATGGGAACAGGCCTTCGGGGAGAGCCGCCCTGCCTCTGGCCAGAGACCCTCTTGGATCAAACCCCAAGGACCTTGCCCGGGGCACAGGTCAGAAGCCTTGGATTGCCAAAGACAGGTAGAGGTGGGCAGGGGTGCTTATCAGAGCAGTGTCCCCAAGAAGGATCTGGAACAAATGGAGCACCCGGGAGGTATCCAGGGGGAGGAGGGCCTGGAACTCACATATGGGTAGGAAAGGGGAGCCCACCCGGCCAATACTTCRGGGTTACCACAAAGCTGATCAGGTCTCTCTAGAGCGGAAGGCTTGATATCTGTGTGGTTCCAAACTGGGGTTCAGGACAGAGTCCCACAACAGGAAAGAGCCAGGGACAGCTAGGGGCAGCCCCATGGGAAGTAAGTTCATTGTCACTGAAGGCCAAATAAGCAGAGGCTCCATGGATACACAAAAGGGTCACCCTAGAAGGGACTGGCTGCTGCAGAAGTACGGGCTGTCTGAAGTGGGCTTCGGGCACTGGACTCTGAGGTTATAGGACCTGCGGTTGGAAGGCCTGGGCTCCATGCTCCTTGCTCAGGCACAACTGAAATCCATGCCCTTGGACTCTTTCAACCTTAACGTCCTATTTTGCAAAACCAGGATGCTCCCAGCCCCTGATGCCATGAGGCCCAGCAGAGGAGGTCCACCATGTCCAAGAGAAGAGGGCAAGGCTGAGCGGCCAGGAAAGTCCTAGGCTGCGTAGTCCTGTCTATCTCTTTAGGTGGAAAGAGGGGTACTCAGAGGTCCCCAAGTCCTATTTTTCTTCTTTCCGTTTGCCTGAGACCCCAACAAGAGTCTGGGTCAGGGAGCTCTCTCAGCCAACATCCCGCCAAGGAGGAGGAAGCAGGCAGCGGGGAGACAGCCAGGACCAAGCAGCTCCAGCAACTGTAGCCTGATTGGGATCTGGACCTTTCCAGGACTCTGCCTCGCCCTGCACCCCGGACGGCCCCGGTGGTCTAACTGCACTGGGGCTGGGAGTCAGGAGACCTGGGGCCCAAACCCAGCCGCTCTGCCTTCCTGAGCTCAGCTTCCTCCGCAGACAGTGGGAGGATATTCCCTCCCGCCCAACAGGAAAATAAAAGGGGTTCCAGTTGCACCCCGCTCCGTGGGAGCGGGGAAGGGCAGAGGGGCCCTGGGCTGGGCGGACTCCGGTTGGCCACACCCATCGCGGGCGCTCACCTTCAGGTCCCGGTGCACCACCCCCATCTGGTGGCAGTGCAGCACGGCCTCCAGGATCTGCTGGATACAGTGACTGGGGAGAGAGAGAGGAAGGGTCAGCCCAGGGACAGGCCTCCTCGCCAAGCGGGCAGCGGGCAGGAGTGCCCTGCGCTTACCTGGCATCAGCCTCACTGTAATACTCCCGGGCCACGATGTCTTCAAACAGCTCCCCGCCAGTGACCCTGGGGGACAGGCACGCAGTCACCCTCCCACAGAAGCCCCAGGCGCCACCCTGCCTAGAGGAGTCTCCCAGAAGCTAGGGACGGGGCCCAGGGACCTCAGAACCTCAGCCCAAAAGAGAGGGACCTGGGGCCCCTGGGCGCCACCACGGACACACCCTCCCTTCCCCTGGCCCCTCCCCCGCCCCTCAGACCCCGCCCCCGGCAGGGTCCTGGCTGGTGGCGGAGGACACCCAGAACACTGCAGGATCACCGCTGCCGGAGCCCAACCACTGTTTGGTTGTGTTCTTTCCATGTCCTTGCCCGCAACGGACATGATCCCCGCCAACAGTTGAGACCAGAGTCACTGCTGATTCCCAGGCCATCCCCCACCCACCACGGAAGACTGCCATCGCCTGCCTGCTCTGACAAATCAAACCCATCCGAAAGGAAACTTGATATCACCCCTATGAATGGTAAACCAGCATCACTAGCCACGAATAGAAGAGAAACAAAAATAAATATATGGCCCGGAGTGGTGGCGCAGCCTGTAACCCCAGTGACTGGGGAGGCTAAGGCAGGACGATTGTGAGGTCAAAGCTAGCCTCAGCAAAAGCAAGGCGCTAAGTGAGACCCTGTTTCTATATAAAATATAAAATGGGGCTGGGGGCATGGCTCAGTGGCTGAGTGCCCCTGAGTTCAATCCCCGGTACCCAAATAAATAAGTATATGATCACAGTTAAAAGTGTTTGGCGGTTTAACTAGGAGGGCTTGGAAGAGTAGACCTACCACATCTGGGGAAAGAGCAGACCTACCACACGTAGACCAGAAGAGGGAATTCTACCCAGCCAGGGAGCGCTGGGGACCCTGACCCAGCACCCCCACACCCATGCCACATCCCAGGTGGGGCCAGACTCACAGGTCGAAGATCAGGTAATGGTGTCCCTCCTCAGAGATGCTGTCGTGGAGCCGGACTGTGGGAGAGGCCAAGGCAGTTGGTTACACCTGGACACACTGCTCCCCACCCCCCACGTCCCCTGCAGCCCATATTATGGCAGGAGGGACAGGAGCCTGAGCTGCCTGCAGAGGAGCTGTCGCCTCTTCAGGCCAAACTCCCAGGAATCCAGAGCTCCCAGATTATTCTTGTGCTTCTGAAAGGAAGGGTAGAGGCCTGGGGATGCCTCTGGTTGGGCCACAACCAACTTCTCACCGGACAGGGCTCTCAACCTTTCCTGTACCACAACATGACATGAACATGGCATAGGGCAGGGACGCTGGCTCTGAAAATCATGCTTCATCCACACAATGGAAAATCACATGGCTGTTAACATGGCAGTTCTAGATCCCCTGGCTTGGAATCATCTCCAGATTGTATTGTTTGATGAAAAAGCAAAGTGCAAAACAGTATGTACAGTTCTTTCTAAAAAGAAAGTGTGCAAAAAACACATAACCCAATCAATAAGTGGACCAAGGAACTGAACAGGCACTCCACAGAAGATGAGATACAAACAGTCAAAAAATATGTGAAAAATGTTCAACATCTCTAGCAATTAGAGCAATGCAAATGAAAACTACACTGAAAACAATGGGGGATATATATATATATATGTGTGTGTGTGTGTGTGTGTGTGTGTGTGTGTGTGTGTATAGATATATATGAAATGGAATGTTACTCAGCCTTAAAGAACAATAAAATTATGGCATTTGCTGGTAAATGAATGGAACCGGAGAATATCATGCTAAGCAAAATAAGCCTATCCCCAAAACTAAAAGCTGAATGTTTTCTCTGATATGTGAATGCCAATTCACAATGGGGGCAGGGGAGTTAGGGAAGAATAGAGTTACTATAGATTAGGTAGGGGAGTGAAGGGAGGGGAGGGGTATGGGGGTAGGAATGATAGTAGAATGGATCAGACATTATTAGTCTATGTACATATTTAAATATACTCCTAGTGTGATTCTACATCATGTACAACCAGAAGAATGAGAAATTATCCTCCATTATATATAGTATATCAAAGTGCATTCTACTGTCATGTGTAATTAACTAGAACAAATTTAAAAAATTTTTTTTTAATACTAGACTGAGATTTCATCTCATTCTAGTCAGAATAGCAGTTTTCAAGAATACAAGTAACAAAAAAATGTTGGTGGGGATGTGGGGAAAAAGGCACACTCATACATTGCTGGTGGGCCTGCAAATTAGTGCAACCACTATGGAAAGCAGTATGGAGATTCCTCAGAAAACTTGAAATGGAACCATCATTTGACCCAGTTATTCCACTCCTGGGTTTATACCCAAAGAACTTAAAATCAGCATACTACAGTGACACGGCCATATCAATGTTTATAGCAGCTCAATTCACAACAGCCAAACTATGGAACCAACCTAGATGCCCTTCAACAGATGAATGGATAAAGAATATGTGATATATTACTGGAATATTACTCAACTTTAAAGAAAAATGATATCATGGCATTTGCTGGTAAATGGATGGAACTGGAGARTATGGTGTTAAGTGAAATAAGCCAATCCCAAAAAAACAAAGGCCAATTGTTCTCTCTGATATGCAGATGCTGACTCACAATCATGGGGAGAGGCTCACCAGATTGGACAGGGGGAGATGAGTTGGAAGTGAGGGGGGRATGGGAATGAGAAAGACAGTAGAATGAATGGGACAGAACTTTCCTGTGTTTATGTATGAATGCACRACCAGTGTAAYTCCACATCATGTACACAAGAATGGGAATTTATACCCAGGTATGTATAATATGTCAAAATTCATTCTACTGTCATGTATAACTAAAAAGAGTAAATAAACAAATTGAAGGAAATGTTTAAGCTTCTATACAACRTAAGTTTCTCTGGAAGAATACAGAGACGTGGGCGTGGGGCTGCCTTTGGGGAAGGGAGTTGGGGAGCAGGTCATGGGGGAGACTCGCTTTTCACTGTAAATCCTAGTGCCACTGATTTGTGCCGTGTACCTGTATCTCTGACTCAATACTGAGTCCCCTGAATTGCTGTGGCTTTCATATTTGCACATCAAGTTTAGAAAGTGAACTAGGAGAYAGGCTGGATAGAGTCCCAGGCGGGTGTCTGCAGGGATGGGAACGGGGCACCAGAGATGGAGAATGACCAGGACACCAATTCAAATTAAAATTGTAAGACTTTGGGCTGGGGTTGTGGCTCAATGGCARAGCGCGTGCCTTGCATATGTGAGGCACTGGTTCGATCCTCAGCACCACATAAAAATAAATAACAAAATTAAAATATTTTTTTAAAATTCCATACTTTTTTTTTTGTAGTAATGGGGCTAAAACCCAAGGGCCCTCTACCACTGAGTTATGTCTCCAGTTTTTTTTTTAATTTTTAAGACGGGTCTTGCTAAATCGCTGAAGTTGACCTTGAACTTGCAATCCTCCTTGCCTTTAGCCTCTCGAGTCACTGGGATTACAGGCATGAGCCACCACACCAGGCTAAAATTTTAAAGACATTCTTAAATAAGGATAACTACTAATACATAAGAACCAAAATGTTTTAAATATATTTAAAGCAAAAAAATAATAATCTCAAGATGTACACAGGATAATCCTGCTTTAATTTACAACATTTTATTATTTTAAAAATCCATACATACAGTCATGTGAAAACCCCTAGGCCCACCACTCCAGTTCCTATTTTCCTATACTTACTTAACTACCCTTCTAACTGTTCCTCTATTAATCTGTTTTAATTTTCAGTGCATTTAAAAGTAAATGCAGGCTAAACTTTTACAATTCATGTGTGAGTTTAGCTGTGCATTTGATTGATGGGACTCAGCAATCCTACCTCCCCTCCAGAGCCCCGACTGCCAGRAGTACCAGCTGCTTGCAGAGACTCCGCCCCTGTCTCAGGCCCTGCTTCTAGGAGATCTGACCTGAGACGACATGCCCAGGTGTGAATGGGGAGACCCACATGGCATCCGATCTCAGCTCTAGGTGGACAGCTAGTGGAAGGACTTCAAAAAGTATTTGCCGTCCCGTTTATCTGCAACTAATGTGGATTCTGAGTGTGTGTGGGGGGGTATGTAAAAGACCCTTTTCTTCTTCCATCTTCCTCCAATGGGTCCCAGGGAGTGCACCCTTCTTGACCCTAGAAGGAGGTGGTCTTAATGTCCCTTTCCTGAGTATGAGAAGCTCTGAGAAGCCAAGCTGCCGCCAGAACCATCTCAGGAAGGGATTTCAGAACCAGGTCCACACCTTTGGAAAGAGCTCCCAAAAGACGGGGTGTCCCAGACCCACCCTCAGGGATCAGGAAAACAGACGGAAGGTGGCAGGGATTTTTCTGTGGCGCAGACTCCTGCTCTGTGATGATTTTGTGCTATTATAAAATGTTGTCCCTCTGAGTCGCCGGGCAGGGGCACAGAGCCTGGACACCAGCCCCCACTTGGGCAGTGCACCACCTTTACAACAGCACTGAAGTCTGCCTCAGTCCCTAAGAGAGAGCAGAATCACCCCTCAGAGCCCAGGGGACAGGACTTCTCTCAGTGTCGGGTTCACACACAGCCTCCCCTCCTATCATGGAGGCTGCCCTGAGGAAGGAGAGGAAAGGATTCAAGAACAGCAGGCTATAGTCGTAGCCCTGCCTCCTGGTGGAGTGACTGGACCATTGTTATACTGTCATTTGACTTTTAAATATTGTCACAGAACAAATTTGTAACCTAGTTTTCAGTAATGCAGCCAGAGTTATGAAATTCTGACATTCCTGTGATGGTTCCAGTGGATGCAGTTTTTGTCTTGAAGTTGCAGGGCAGCACTTGCTCTTTTCCCTGGGTGCCCTGACACGACACCCAGATGCCCACTTGGGAAGCTAAGTGGAGTGACTAGTATCGTGGACTCGCAGTCAGGCCTACTGAGTCCCCTCACAGGTCCACCTCTTACAAGCCGTGTCTTTGGGCAAACGACTTAGCCTCCTGAGCCTGCGTTTCTAATGAGTGCTCATCAAGTYGGCCTGCTCCAGGTGCTAATGTGAGGGGTCTTGTAGAGTACTCAGGTAGTACTCAGTGCTAGGAAGAGCTTAATAAATGAAGACAGAGCCATCTGGCCCATCACAATTCCCGTTCCCAGCCCAAATCACCTACCAAGCCCCCAGGCTGTCCCTAGCACAGGTCAAGTTCCCT